GTCATTCACCTCAGAGAACAGCAAGGCTGGCATGTATCGGCGGACTCTGTCCGGAAGTCAGCGCCCAAGGCTGGATTGCGTGGCCAAGGAACTCGGAATTCAGGAGAGTTCCGCTCCACGAACAAGGCATTGAGCTGAGGGTTCTGGAAGCCTCCTCAGCCAAGCAACGAAGCAACGCTGAACCTGGCTGCCCGGATGGGAGGCCCTGAGCCTTGAAAGTCTTAAAGCCTGCGATCAGCTGCATTTTGACTCTGAGAGGAAGGGTCCAAAGCGAACTTGCGCTGAGGGCCGAGCCCAGCTTGACTGCCTGAAACTGCTGCCGCCTGCGGCCGCAAAGATCAGATGCGTTTTGTACTTTGAGCAAAGCGAGCACAGGTGTGGTCCTGCAGTGTTTTCTGACAGAAGGCTGACGAACCACTGGTGCATCTGCACAGCTTTCGCTGCCGAGCAAAGCAACGCTCTCTCCTTCGGAGTAGCATTGCTACCCAACTGTGTCAGCTCATCGTCGTGAGATGTTGTGAGTCATTAACATGTCGGGAAGCAAGATCATTAACACTGAGCCGGAGGTCACTTGGCATTCAAATCCGCGTCGGCGGCTGTCGGTCCACCGTCTCGCAGCAGCAGAACCAGGAGCTCGCCTTTGCCTGTGCCTTCGCGGCCATTGCGCCCAGCTTGTCCCCGAGCTTCTCCAACTTGTTGCCCATGTCAGTCCATTTGATGTTTCCAGCAGCCTCCTTCATGGAGACACCGTACTCTTTGGCCTGCTTGGCAATCTCATCCCAGGGAATATCCTCCGCCGCCTCTTGGATGGAAAGGCCCATCTCAACCGCAGCGTCCTTCATCGACATGCCGGTGGCTTTCGCCTTCTCTGCAATCTCATCCCAGGGAACCTCGTCCATCTTCTCCTTCACGGCCGCCGCCAGGGCTCTAGCTTTCTTGGTCATCTCCTCCCAGGGGATGGACTTGGCCGCCTCCTTCATGGAGACCCCCATCTCTTTGGCTTTAGCTTGGATCTCCTCCCAGGGGATTGCCTCGATCTGCTCCTTCGCAGCTACACCCATCTCCAGAGCAGCCTCCTTCATCGAGACTCCTGCAGCTTTGGCCTTTTCAGCGATCTCGTCCCAGGGAATTTCCCCCTCCTCCTCCGCAGCCTCCGTGGCCTCGGCATCCAAATGGACCACCTCCCACACCTGGTCCTTGGCACCCTCCCACTCTTTTATGATTCCGAAGCCATGCTGGCCGCCTTTGCCATCAGTTTTCTGGGCAAAGATCCTCCTTCCGGATGCAGAGTTCGAGATGTTGACCCCGCCCCCGACCTTGTTCAGCTCCCATTTCGCACCCCCCCAATGAGGATCATTCCATGTTTCGACCTTGTTCTTGCTGCCTTTGCCAACTATCATGTCACAGAGTTTCCTGCCATCCGGCGTTTTGATGTGTCCATCTTCTGCAACGCGCCATCGTAGCTCCCTTGACTTGGGCTTCACTCCGGGAGGTGAAGCCCCGACAAGTGAACCATCTGACCAAAGCCACCGGTCGCTGGCGACATTCCTGAAGGACACCAACATAGCTGCGCGGTCTAGGCATGGTCCTGTGTTGAAATGGCGAATCACACGTGCTGCATCAGCACCGCGACACTTGCTTCAGTTCAGCCGGAAAATTACCTGGGACTCGCCACTGAAGTCAACTTACCATGCTCTGGGGGCTGCGCGTGGAGCCGCTGAGGCTGCCTCCGGGGGAGTTCATAAACCTGCACACCGGGCGGCACATGCAACGGAGCGGCTGGAAGCGCACAGACGCTCTCGCCTGTCCGTCGGACTCGGCAGTGGAGATCCCCCTTGCATCGGCGACCCGGGAAAGGGCCTCCAAGGTTCCGAAAACACGCTTCCGGCCACGCTTCCGGCCGATGAGACCCGGGCAGGCTCCCCATGCTCTCATCAGTCGTCGTCTTGATGAGCATAGGCTGCCTCTCCGATCCTCGGCTAAAACCCCGAAGAGTCCCTAGAGCAGCCTGACTCCTCAATATCGGTTGTGACATAGACATGGAGACATGTTCCACAAGCAACAGCGAGACAGACTTTCTGCAGCGGCTTGCTTTCTGTAGGTTCGCACGGCCTCGCTTGACGCATTGGCACACTCGGTCGCTAGGTGCGGCACTTTGCGAGTCCAAGCCTGTTTCCACGTCTTGCCTCAGCTGCACCCAAAGTAGAGCCGAGCATCTAGAGAAGGAAAAAGAAAGGCAGTTCAGCTGGTTCAGCCTTGTCCTGGCCTACCCCGTTGAAGGGTTTGGGTTTTGTTTGGTTCATTGCAGGTCTCGACTACGCTCACACATGGACCATCCAGGTTTGGGGAAATGACACCTGTGCACGATCTCGGCTGCCGCAAGCAGAGAATGCCACACACACACACACACACACACATCGTCGTCGTTTCACCCTTGGCCTTTGGTCAAAGGTACCTGCTACTTCCATGCGGCCTCATGCTGCAAGATATTGCAAGATCTACTGCGTTGCGTTTGCATCGTGCCGGACCGCTTGCTTAACAATTTAACAACATGAATGCCGCAACCGCCTCACAGCCATCTTGACTGCGGAAGCCAAGCAGTGAAACATCTGTTCACATCTCCACCTGGCCGCAAAGCTGTCAATGTCCCTCGCATCCACAGGATTAGAACTCAATCAATGGCTCTTCGGGTGCTCGCAAGTTCTGGCAGTGCCTCCACTACCCGTTCTCGCCAAGACCGCTTGAGACGTTCAACCCTCTCCGCCATCGGACGCCATCCCAGCAAGAGCGAAGCTCAAGGTAGGGCAGGGTAGGCCGGGTAGGCCTTGCGGCCACAGGTTACGCAGCAGAGCGCAGCAGCACTCTTCGGCCTGTCAGGGCATTCAAAGAGTCCAAGAGAGGCGGCTTGCAGGCGACATGCTCGCAAAGCTGACCCCGCCTTTGGATCTTGTAGGGCGAGTCTGCAGTCTTTGCTGGCTTCGCTCGGCTCATCCTGCCTTTGAACAACTGACCACAAAGAAGAGCGTCACGCGCATTCCAGGTTCTGAGTAGGATGAGTTGTCGATTTTGACAACAAACACCTGTTGCGACCTCCTTTGACTCCAGATGCTCGCACAGCACTGCAAGACAGCCGTTCACCTGTAGCCGTCCGCGGTCGGAGCAAGTAGCGGCTGTGAGCCTGGGTGTGTCGAGACTCACGCCGACAAGCATGGAGAGGGCAAGAACCTGCCTACTTGCATTAGTGGATGTAGCACACACACACACACACGCACACGTTTAACAGCCACATGGTATTGTACGGTGTACATGGGAGTAGAGTAGTTTGTGCTCCATCATGTTGTAGGCAATCGTATCGAGTATCAAACTGTACCATGTTATTGTATTCTGTCTTTGTTGCGCTATACTTCAATGTGGCAAGCTCTCGCACAGGAGGCTGTCAACCGTACTGCAACCTGCCGTACGGCTGCAAGAGGATGAATACGTGCAGCTACCACCCGATCTTTTTGGCGTTTTACTGGAGCTATACTTGTTGCGATCCGTCTCACACTGGCTACCATTGACCAGGTGCAGGTTCTCTGGTATCGCATGGCTTCTTGTGGTGTGCGCATTTTGCCCTTCCTGTTGGCTGCCATTGCAAAGACCACCACCAATACTTTTCTCAAGTTCTACTACCAGGAAGGTTTGCTCCCCTCTCATCTGCTGGTTGATGAAGCTCTTAGACGGAGCTTGCATAGCTTCGGCAGGTGGACATGCAGACCGGCGGATCTATCGTTTGCATCCTCGCAGCTGCATCCAGGCTCTCCGCAAAGAGGTGCAGACCTGAACGGCCCCATGGGCAAAACTGGCGAAACCCTTTGCTGGAAAGTCTTCAAGACCTCGGAATGTGTGTTCGACAGTTGTTCGGCTGACTTGCAATGCCGGGCATCATGCTCACATGACCGGTATCAGATCAATGTCATCGTGGCACAAGTTGGGGACTGAAAACAGAAAGCCTATTATTGATAAACATACTGCTGTGCTTCAAGCTGTAGCCTCAGTTATGATAATTTGAGAAGAGATCGTTCAACTACATGCACAAGCATGCGAACAGCAGCGCACGTACTGGCCCGACACCGTTTCGGCTGCACTCTCGTCAAATGATACTGTCTGTCCACCGATGGCCTGTCCCACATGCCCCACTGCTAACAGCTGTGAGGCCCTCAAATCCTGCAGCGCGAAGTAGCGACCTCTGATCTGTAAGTGCATCGCACGAGACTGATGCATGATACTTGTTCCATGCCTCGACCTCCAAGGCTCAACCTCAGCATGATGCATGCACCTGCGTGCTATAACCTTACACCTTGAAACCTGAACCCTAAAACCTCATGTCCCGGGTCTATACATCCCTAAACCCTTTATGTAAGCCTCTATGACGACTCGTAAGCCCAGAGAAGGCCTCGACGGCGTGCCACGGTCGCGGCCGAAGCTGCCGGGGCACTGCGAGGCCGAGGCCTTGTAGCCTCCTTGGGGAAGTCTCCGGGCACTTACGAAGATGTACATGTATGTTCAGCTTTACAAGACCTTCTAAAGTCATTAGCACCCATTCGGGTCTCTGCAGAACAGAAGGTGGTTTTCGGGTCCCAGCTCGCTAATGTCAAAGGAGATGCCGCTTGCTTTCTAGCGTGCCTCCACGTACCTTAAATATCCAACCCACTTCTCCCCTCCAACACCTGAACGTGGTTATAGTCTGGGGGGAGTTGCGGGACTTCTGCGAAGCACTCCAGCGACTGGATGGTTTTGGGGCGATGCATCATGAGCACTCAAATGATGTTCCCAGCAAGCTCGTAATTGCACAAGGCTTTTCAGGGTCTTCAGGGTGTACTGCCTGTATGTCATCAGTTGGGCCGGGGTTCTTCTTGCAACTGATCTAATGACAACGTAGGATTATCTCGGATGTTCGGATTCTAGAAAGAGCGCAGCACTCTCGGCGAAGCCTTTGCAACTTCCGGTTGTTGCCGAACTGGTGCCGGCGGAGGCCGCCGGAACCTGCCACTACTTCGACCCTCCAGGCCAGTGGTTTGGAGCGAATACGGTCAGTGGCTGTGGTGCTGATAATAACGAATGCCGAAAGCCCTGTAAATAGGAATAGCTGCTGCTCTCCTGATTCGGCAGATTGTCCTCGTCGTCGTCCTCTTCGCTGTTGTCACCCTTGTCGTTGCCGTCGTCATTCTCTTCGTTGTTCGGAGTAGCAGCAATGACAGCACCAGCACTTGCAGCTTCAGAAGCGAGCAGCAGCGGAAGCAGCAGTGGCTTGTTTGTCAGTCGTCGTCGTCGTGGTTGTGGTAGTCGTCGTACCCCCGACACCCCCCCGCCCCCGGTGAGACGGCAAAACCTGTAATTTTCTGACACGGGTGTGTGTTAAAGCTCATGGTGCCTTGCTTGCGTATTTCGCAGGCTTCGCACTTTGCTTAGAAATTCCTTTTCACTCTTGAAGCCAACAGCAGTAGTATTTGCATTCATGTTTCTGAGTTACTGATTGTGGCTATAGTAGTGGCAAGTAAAGCAGAACAGTAGCAGCAGTAGCCGTCATCGTCGTCGTTGTCATCACCAGCAATGCCGCCACTAAACACTATTGCCATCTGCCTCTCCTCTGTGTCATAATCCTCATCAATACGGAAAAACCATTGACTTCAACATCATCCTGACCATCATCGTCAAAATCACCGTCAGCATTGCCATGTTTGTCACCAGCTCATCACGAGCATCCTGACGATCGTCATGTTCGGCCACCTCTCGGCCATCTGACGGCGATGCTGCGCCAAACGGCGGTCGCGTACGCGACAACGTTCAAGCTCGGCCTGCCGACAAGTCTCAGCAGCAATGCACTAATAAGGCTGCTCCGTTAGAAACCGTTAGAAACAAACCCACTGTGCTCCAGTTGGCTTCGCTGAAACTAGCTCATTCGATGAAGCGACCATGTAGTCACGATCCAGTTTGAGCAGCACATGTTCCTTCTGTAACGGTCTGAGGTTGTATGAAAGACAACGAGGCTGGATCTAGCAGGAAGCTTCAGCCTCTGCCTTCGCACCTGTCGGGATGAGCTTGAGGAGTTGAAACCCTGCCCCGAGTTTCAACCGAGGCCTCATGGGCCTGTATTCTGCAAGCAGCTCGGCCCACATAGTATCCCTCCTGAATGCTCCTCCCCTTTGACACGGCCCCTTACCTTTGGAAATGCCATGATCTTGCTATGCCGTGCATTTCGGCAAGAGGGCCGCACCGCCTTGCGCCATTTCTACGGGAGCCCAGTGGTGGCCGCAGGCCTTCCTGCTGAAGCGGGCAGGCCTGCTTGGCCTTCTCCTGCTGTTCTGCATCCTGTCAGGCTGTTGGGGCTGAATGGAGACAAGAAGCTCGACACGCCATTCAAAAAGTGAAAGCAAGCTGGACTCGTGCAGGAGCGTCTGGATCCTGCTCCCGCAACTTCCGCACCATCTCGGCCTGCAGCGGTTCTCTCCTACTCGGCCCTGGCACCACCTGAAGTTTGATGCTCAGGGTTTCGACCCAGGAGCCAAAGTTGCGAGTTTTGAGTCTGCACACCGAAAAGACAACTCAGAGAGAGCATACGGTGGTGGTCAAAAAAACTTACCTCAACTCTTGCCTTCTGGGACTCCTTACTCAGTCACTAATACCGAAGCACCTGCTTTCTGATCCCTAGTACAGGGCAGGCGATGGCCTCAGCCACGCGCCGCTTCTTTTCGGCAGCGCTGACGCGGGCCTCCCAGCATAGGGACATACTGTAGGAGCCTGAGTATAACAAGGGTTTTGGGGAATGGCTTGCCATGAAAAACATACTGACTACAGGGACAACTAGCAAGTTGAGTAAACTCACGAGAGAAAAGCAGCAAGGAAGTATGCTCGGTGTGCTGCATGGAATCCCGTCCCTATTATCGTTGTTCTCCGTCCATACCGACGACAAGTCCGAGGTCACTAGACTCACTAGACTGCGCTCCAAACCAGGCCGCCACAGCCCTTAGAGTGTGATCAAGGATTTCGGGGCATCGCAGAGCTGAAGACTGTTTGGTACTCACGTTCTTGGTAGTAAAATGCACAGTTGGACTTCAGAGGATTTCAGAGGTACGATCTTTTGACACTTGCCCAGGTCCAAGAGTTCAGGGATTCGTGGTCAGGCTGTCGTTTCAGCCACTTAGGGGCACCTCAAAGGCAGCCAGAGACTCAGCGCGCGCTGCGGCTCGTTCCTGGCTGTGGAATCGGGCTCGACTCGGACTCTCTCAGCCCCGATCGCGGTCAGAGCACGTGCCGCATTGAAGCATATCAGGGAGCAGCAAGAGCAGTGCAATGATTCACCCAACCACGGGTGGACAAAAGTTCAGATGCGCCTGCTGCACGGCTGCCATTTCTAGCTCCTCACGGGCACTGGTGTGGCAAGAGCTATCTATTGTACAACGTGCCGTGCTGCTGGAACTCAAGCTGCCCCTTGGGCTTTTAATAAGCAGTAACCGTTTCTTCTTTGGGTCTATGCTCCCCAGAACTGCAGTAACAAGCCGTCTTCTTTACGAGTAGATTGATGCCGGTTTCCAAATCTGGCGGTTTCCGAAAATAGGCGACCCTGATATAGTACCCTAGATCAGTGGATCCTTATTATGAGGACCCCCATTTTCGGAAACTCCCATCTACCGCAGGCTCCTTCTGCTTCGCCAGCTTCGCCTTCGCGGCTTGCTCCAGCTGCTGCCGGTACTGATGACGCTGAATCTTTTCGCTGAGCTCCTCAGGGACGCGCGCTGGAGCAAGCCGTCACGACAAGAGTGGTTCGCAAGTAATGGTGGTGCAACTTCTCGAATTCAAAGCAGCGTCAATGGACCTCCACTTTCTGTATCTTCTCTGCGATCATGTCCTCAATAATCGCCTGCAGCATTGCTGGGCTGCCGCTTTTTGCCATCCCTCGATCCGCTGATGGTGCGAAACGAAAGTGCTTTCCGGCTGTTGGTGCGTGCATGTCTGGGGTGCGGACAGGAAACGTTCTGCGTGCGCCACTGCTGTTGGACAGCAAAACTTTTGCCTTAGCCTTCGCCTCTCTAGGTGCTGCCTTCATTCCGGCAAGGACTCATGCCTGATTCACAAGTCTTGATTGCACATTTTGTGCGAGACGAGATTGCAAGAAAAGTCATCTATGAAGCTTCTACGCAATCATGCGCCGGACGACTATGGCCAGCTGCATGGAAGATCTCCGTGAAGATTTCGCTCCCGCGGCACGTGCAGTCTTTGTACAGGTACGTCAGACTTTCTTGTCCATCGCATCGCCCTGAAAATGTGGTGGAGCGCTAACCTGGCTCCGCAAGCGGGTGAAGGATTCTCAGCTCCCGACAGCTGGGCAGCCGGGCCTGAGGTTTCGGATCTGCCAGGATTGGCTTCTTCTCTTCCTTGCTGGGGCCGTCCATCATTGCCCTGAACCTGCAGCCAACCAGGCAGCCAAACCGTAGTGACATGACTGTCGAACCTACACCGTGCAGTTGCATCATTGGCCAATCTCGACTCCCTGTGAACCAATCGAGTCTTGTGGCTTGTCAGGCTATGCATCAACCGAGATCTCACGGGTCCCCAAATAACCTCTGACCTAAAGCCAGCCGGGTGATCAAAGCTTCAACGGCACATCGGAAACCAAGACACGACTTGTAGAAGAGGGCCGAGAAGATGAGCAACAGGCCCAAGATCTGCCACCCCGTCACAGGATTGTGATATTTCACCTCGGGCATTCTCCGGAGGCTGCTCCAAGCACAAGAAGGAAGTGCAACAAATGAAACCAGCGACAGCTGCACTGCTTGCATCAGCCTGGGACTACAATTCAATATCTTCCATTTTCAGGCATAGTCCGTAGCCGTGGCATTACTTGTCATTTGTCGACATGCGAGCCAGGCAGGGGCGATTTTTTTGTTTCATGTCTCTGGGGCTTTGGCACACCTCAAATGAGACGAGGAGACGGCCAATCCCCAATGACTCTTTTGTCGCTTGCCCGGAGCCGTAACATCGCCTCCCACTTGTCGACAGGCATGGGGAGCATGGCCAGCACGCCAGAAGCAGAAAGGATCTGAGCTTAGCATCGCTCAGCAAAGGCCTTTCGACGTCCAAGGATCGCCTTGGCACTGCGGACACGCTTCGTTGACCTGGCCGCCGGGGCCGGTGCCCTTGTAACACTTTTCCCACTCCCCCGGGATGGTGATTCCGCCACAATCTGCGTCAGGTTTGAAGTTCTCACAGTACATGTCATCGGGATCCGGCACACCGTCTTTGTTGTCTCCATTGCTCTGGCAAGGGATCACCACGTCGCCCGCCTCCTTTGCACAGCCGCGGGGCAGCTTGGCCTCGGAGGACTTCTCCCGTGCGGGGCAAGGCTCCCCAGCGGAAAGTGGCATAAACTTCCGGTACTCGTTTCTCCCGGGAAGGAAGCAGCAGCACTTCCCGATGGGCTCCTCCTCCTCGCCGTTGATGGCTGGCCGAACTGCTCTCACGACCACGGAGAGGAGGCAGAGACTGAGCACGCGATGCATCGCTGGGATGTACAGGTCTTGAATTTTGCACTCCGACTGTGAGCCAGCTGCGGACATTTACCCACCGGGCGCTTGAAACAAAAAGACCGCCCAACTCGGAAACCAAAACTGTAGTAACGAAGCGCCAACCTATCGCAACTCCCGGAAGCCGGAAGCCAAAGCCGCGCAACCTTCACCGTGAGCCCTCACACTTACAGGTTCCAACCCACTCCAACAGATCCAAAAACTTTCGATATTGAAGTCTTTCTTTGCCAAATGGCGTACGAGACCATGATTGACACGACCTGCCGCACATTCATCGTGGCAGCAAAGACCAGGGCTCCAAACTCCTTGATCTGCGAGTAAATGAAAAACCTCGGACAAAGATTCAGAATAGACAGCACGCAAAAAATACGTCATGGTTCGGAGATCTTGCACGAACATCGCCGGATGGCTTCGATCCCAACATGGTTGGCCCTCTTTCATAATTATGCAACAAAGCCATGTGCAAACCAAAGAGCTGACTTGCCACAGCAGATGCGCTAAGAAGGGCAGAGTCTAACCAGAACTGCCTGGGTGCAACAGAACAAGGACGCAGTGATATCCAACAATGCGGGATGGCATGGTTGTGACATCCTGCAACTGTGCGAGAGCTCTCTGACTTGCACCTGAAGCATCCCGAGAAAAGCATAACATGTCCTATCATTCGCCGAGTTTCGGATGCTCGAAGCCAAAGTTCATGGCAGGAACCAGGCTTCCTGTTGCCTTAGCACTTGTCTGCGCACGCCGGAACCGGTTGACTGGTCGATGCACGATACGAAATGATACGAGTTGGGCCCGGTGGTGTCCGGAAGTCACATTTTCATCCTGTCTCGCACCCTGAATCTGCCGGAGAGCGAAGCCTTGTGCTCTTGAGCATCTAGTGCAAAACACGACAAGGCTGTACCCGGTGATGGCGGGCGATGTTGAAAAGAACTGGACGTCTCAAATCGAAGGACGAACCAGCCCATACTTTCAGCTGCTGTAGCTCTCGCCAAAAGCGCTGAAACCGACAGCTCCGCGGAAGGAATCATGGGCGCCACAAAGACTGGCCGTATGTGGACTGCTCGCGGCTCATTCCAATGTACTCTCCGGTATGGGTGACTCGGATTTTCCGCCCCCCTGTGAACCCGGTGGTGAACTTTGAAAGCCAATGCCGCTTCACCGCCCTCGACTTGTCCACCACAACGACAGGCACTGACTGTGGAGTCCCCAACAGCAGCCTCCACAGCCGGAAGGCGGCAAGACGGCGGTTGCCCAGAGAGTAGAAGCGGTGTCGAAACCAATAAATTAATCTCCAGACTGAACTGAGAGATCTCCAAGTCGCCATGAGCAAGTGCCTGCGCCAACTCCATGATGGATGCAGCTGTTACGGCGCCCGTCTCAATGGGTCTTCGAAACTTCGCCGCACAGTGCCCTTGGCTGAACATGATGTCCAGAGGGTCCAGCCACCCGGGGCCTAGTGGCAACAGTTGTTGCGGAAAAGGGGGTTCAGGCTCGAGCTCTTCGCCGGCTAGGTCGTCTTGCTCGCCAAGATATGCCGACTGCATCGCTAGGACGCCTCGACGGGCCTGAAGCCGCGCCTCCCGGATGGAATCTGCCACCTGTGTTGCACCAAGGTCATGCCGTAGGACAAATGTCACTTCCCTCATTAACTCGTCGAGCCGACGGAGAGTCCGCACGACAATCCCTTCACCGCCAACAGGCACCCGGCTCTGCAAGACGGCTTCAGTGAAATCGTCGCCGCGGGCCCATCTGTAAGCAGTTTCCGCGAAGCTTGGGTTCACACGTGCGGCTGCGAAAGCAGCTCCATCGCAAAACCCACATGTTAGCTGATCGCAGCGCTCGAAGCACGGAAGGGCAAAGCCGTGGAGTCGGCAAGCCATTTGACGAGCTACGCTTTTACAAGTGGCAATGCTCTCTTTGACCTTGGCATCGGAAATGTAACGTTTCCAGTTGTCTGGATGCCTTCCCTCTGCGACAAAGCAAGCGCACACCGCAAAGATCTGCGCAGCACTCAACCCAATGAACCCGCGCAGAGCCAGGACGATTTCGGACACCAGCAAGCCATCATCTGGTACGAAGAAGTGACAAGCAAGAGTTCCTTTCGGCAGGGCAGCGCAGGAGGAGTCCACGAAATTCATTGCCTGCATGGGAGAACGAAGCACATAATTGCATGAGCCGGTCACGACTGAAAATGGAGTTTTGGGTTGGCTAGCCTGCAGGGCGCACATTTTCCGCTCGGCCTCGTCCTTGAGCTCCTGTGCCGCCACGGGATCGGCGTAGGAGAGCAGGCTGTTCGTCAGCATAGAGTAGAGATGCGCCGGCCCAGTGGAGATGAGATGCAGCAAAGACGACCAACGAAGCCGAAAGCAACTGGAAACCTGGGGCGCTGAGGAGGAGTACAAGTCCTCGAGAACGTACTCAATAGGCTGCTCCAGGATCTCGGAGCTGTGCAACATCACGTAGACGTGGCCTGCCAAGGGTATTCCACCTTCAAACTCCCTAATTATGTTTATTTGAATGAGACCAAGCTCTTGCCAGATGATGCCAGATGGAAAGACACTCGGCATTTTGCAACCCATTATAACCCACCTTGAAGGTCCTTTCCCCGGCGGCCCGCGCGTCCAGCCATCTGCGCAAACTCACCCGCATTCACCAGTCTACGCCGCTGCCCGTCGAACTTCACCAAGTCCATGAAGATCACTGACTTGGCGGGCATGTTTAAGCCGATGGCGAAGGTTTCGGTGGCGAAGACAACTGGCAGCAGGCCCTCCACAGGGACAAAACGCGTGTCCTAAGGAATAAAGGCCCCCGTCATCCCCCGTCCTCGGCAAAAAGTAACTCCACCAACTCGCGGAGAATCGGCAACATGCCGCTGTGATGCACACCGATGCCCCTGAGCAGCAACTCCCGAGAGTGTCGAACTTGAGCTAGGCGCTGGTCCCCCTCCTGTCCAAGAGTTATGCAGTTTGGGGCATTGCTAAGCACCTCAAGCTGGCTCAAAATGTCTTTCCTTCTCGGTCCTCCAATGACGACAAGCCAGAATCAAGGCGCTGCTTGATGGCTTGCCGGCTTGCGCGAGTTGCAAAGTCCAGCCGTTTGGCACCTGCAAGATCGAAGCCGCCAAACAACTGCAACAGGCATCTTGCAGTAAAGAGCATTAAGTCCACCGAAACAGCCCACATGTCTCAACGTGCTAGGTTTGGGCTTCCCGCCTGTTAGCAAGAGCGCCACCCTCTCACACCTGAGGCGATCGAAGCAAAACCCGATGCCTTTGCCAGACGCTTTGCAAGCTCAATTTCTGCTCGAATGGTTTCAAGACTGACGTGCTTGCACAAGTTTATGCTCACAGCCAAATGAATGAAAGCAGAGCCTGTGCGGAACCCAATCATGCCGAGATGCATGGCAGCTGCTGTCGTGAAAACAGGAGGCCTAGAAGTCGATCAAGATCCTGACATTGCATCGGCAAAGTCTGACTGCGTGCCACGACATGCCACGATCAGCCCTCAGCAGCAGTTGCATCTCAAAGAAGTCTTAGGCAAGAACCTCCACGCGCATCTCGTGTGGGTCTCCGGTTAAATCACGCGGCGGCTTCGCAAACCTTGGCAATGAACCTACGCTCACACGAGCTAGCAGAGCAGTAGCTGGTGTTTTTTTTGACAGGGCACTGAGCAGGAACGCCTTGCTCCAGAAGCCAGCTCTCGATGTCATCTTTCACGTCCCACTCAGCACGTCGGCTTCTGCCATTGCTCACCTGAAGGCCACGCAAAAGGGCAGCAAGCCATCTGCAACAGGATGGGAATCCAAATTCACAGCAAGACACGCAGATCTGGCCATCCACAAGAGTGATCTTTGCTCGGCCGGCTTCCAGAGTTCGCAGGTTCTGACCTTTGCGGCCGATAAACCTTGGGATCAGCTGCTCTGGGCACCGCCACACAGAGGCTTCCTGGAGCAGCACCCGCCGCTGGTAGGCTGCGGTACGAATGCTCTGACGATTGACTCGACCTGAGCCATGTGAGGAAGTTTCAGGACTGTGAAGAAGCCGCATAAAAGCTCTGGTGCAGGTAAGGGGCCCGAGGAATTCAGCGCTGGAAAGAAGGATTTCCACCGGCCGCCACGGAAAGATGGATGACCACACCTGTACACTTCGTTGCGCAGCGGCACTGGCCGAGACTTGGTTTCGACCACATTCACAGGTTGCACTCGCATGCTGGCGATCCACTGTGCAATGCCACGGCTGTTTGGAACGGTGGCAGAAAGCAGAATCAGTTGAAGATGAGATGGAAGCATAATCATCACTTCTTCCCAGGCGAAACCTCGTCCTTCGTTCCCCAAGAAGTGAGCCTCGTCCACCACAACACAGGCAAAGTCATCCAGTAGCAATGGGTCGCGTGCCTGCCTGTAGAGCATTGCCTGCAGAATCTCCATCGTCATGACAACCACGGGAGCATCGCTAGCGATGGTGGTGTCGCCCGTGAGTATGCCCACCCGTGAAGAGCCAAACAAGGCACACAATTCTTTGTACTTCTGGTTAGACAGCGCTTTTATCGGAGTCGTATAGATAGATCGTCGAGAGGAGCGCAAGGCGGTCTCCAACGCGTACTCGGCCACGGCAGTCTTCCCTGCAGATGTCGGGGCACAGAACATCACGGCTTCTCCAGCTGCCAAGCAGGACATGGCCCGCAACTGGACCGGATCCATTGTACGGCCCCGGCTGAAAGACATCCCAGACAGGAATGGAAGCGCATCAAGTGCTCCGGCGGATTCCAGGAACCGTGGTCGGACACGGAAGTGAGTGAAATTACCTCGGGTATGAAACGGCTCGGACACGAGGTCTGATTCGACGACATCCTCCCCCTCCAAAGACTCATGACTCTCGAACTGGATCCTTTCAAGCTCTTCCTGTAGTCGATTTCTTGGAAGCTGCAAGAGATGCTGTGCCCGCAACGCCTGGTCCCGGCGCATCGCAAACACCACGACTTCATCAGCAGATGCAGAGGTCCATGGGAACCTACGTGCGAAAATGGAGGAGTGCGAGACACAGATCAAAACCGATCTATTTCGGGAAGTCCGTTCCTGAGATCCCCGTGGCGTCTCCTAGCCCCGAATCAAACTGCGAACGAAACCCAGGTTCTGATCCTGTTCACCTGCCTGGGAAGTCGGCCACACCACCAATGTGAACTCTGATCAAGAATCCGAAATCATCAACATGTCCCGACTTCCTCCTCCCCTTGCCGCTCAGAAACTCCACAGGACAGCCCACGGACCGGATGAAAGCGTGCATGGCGCTGGCAGTGATTGCTCCAGAATCCAGGCCCTGCAGGCAAAACGTCTCAAGGAAAACACACATGACTGCAAGAGTTACCCCAAACCACGGCTCCCCTTATCTTGAGCATTAAATCAGCTCTCTAAGTGACCGGAGCTCGAAACCTCACCGCTCCTGCAGATGCGAGGCGTCGCTCACAAACCAATGCGCCGGGAGTGCGGCTCCTGTTCAGCTAACTTTACCCACACCTATGAGGCCTAGAAAAGTTGAGACGGAGGGCAAGGCGAGCATGATGTGCAGCAACATGATGTGTCACTGTCCGCCCCAAAAACTCGACAAGACCACGAGGTTGCTGCTGGCAGATATTTCCAAACCCAGTTGTTGACCCTGTCGTGTCCTGCTACCGGAAGTTCCTCACTTGCGGGGTCTGTCACATCTTCACCTCAGCTGATACTCAATGATGTCGGCATCCGTTACCACCTCGCATCAGCCGAGGCAAGCCACCATACCCAGCACCGTCAGCATCTCGGGCGACAATGCCCAGGGTCTGCAAATCTGCCAACTCTGGAGCCGTCCTTGCGTTTCTTGCTATAGACATCTGGATTCCCATTGCATTTAGAACTACCCGCTGCGGATTCATCTTACATCACCCGGTGGGAATCCAATATACATCAACCGCGAAAATATGCATCAGGGAACACGAATCCCGATGTAGACGCCGTGCTTGAAGCAGCAGTGAAGAACGTGCAGATTCATCGCATATGTGGCCGACGCCAAGTCTTGAGTGTAATTGTGACTCTTTTTCGCATAGATGCACTACTGTTACAAACAGTTGTTCCCAAGCAGACCCCAAGGACGCTGTTTGCAGTGTCCGAGTCGCGTAAGCTCAATTGTCAAGAGATGTCGCGGATTCTGGTGTTGCTCAAGTAGTTTTCAGTGCCATCTAGAATACATTTTCTTCCCGATTCTATACGTGCACCCCAGCGCGGACACTGTTTCAGGATCCAGGCATTGCTTGGGTGCGCCGAGGGGAGAGGTGTTGATTCCCGACCAAACAAAGTGACCGCGACTCCTGTTCGATAACAACAGCTGATACTAGAAAGTCTTCGTGAAGGCACCAAGTCCTGCTCCTGCTATTTCACACCACTAGCATGGCCAAACCAGCTGTTCCCCATGTAGACCCGCTCATGAAACACGTCAGTGGCAACAAATCAAAACCAGCAATTCCCCATGGGGACGCCCTATTTCGCAAGCATTTACTCAAGTAACACATCAGCGGCAGCAAATCAAAACGAGACATTCCCCATGCAGATGCTCGATTTCGCAAGCACCCGATGAGGGCAGTTGGAACTGAAGCTCTTGGCCGCCTTCGCGGGAAGGCTTGGTATCCGCCAACTAGACGCTGGTCGAACAGGCAGTTTTGCTAGGTCCTATAACACATACAGACTGGTTTGAATCCTGGTTTCCGCAAGTAGACGCTGTGCGATGCATAAAAAAGCCACGCGATGCATGATAAATCTACCCCTTGTATGACCTGCTCGACCTGCTACGGAGGCCCATCTCCACCAGGGAACGAGCGAGGGACCGACTGCGAAGACTCCAGGTGCTCTTGCTCTTCGTCCTGCTCAGCCTGCCAGCTTTCGACGAACAGCACGGGCCGCGGACGATGCCGCGCACAAAAATGCCGCGTATGAGTGCCGGGATGTAGTTATAAGCAGAAGGTACTCGCTACTCTGGTAGAGTGAAGTCTCACAGAAGAAGCCGTGAGCCAAGCCTCCAGAGCATCATCTATGTCCTCATGTGCCCCATCCGCGGAGTCATCGGAGAAATTGCCATCCACTTGCCTCAAGTTCCCCAGGTCAGAGAAGCTGGGCTTAAGCAACCCTTGGATGAAGCTGTGCTTAAAAGCCCTGCAAGGCAAGCGGCACAGATGAAACAGCAGCCATCCAAGTGGATTATCTGGATTTGAGAGAAAGATTGCGGATGCACATGGTCGCTCTTATGCGGCATGCGTGATACTTGAGCACGAAGCTCCTGGTGCCGCAGGCAGCACACAACTCTGTCTCCAAGCGACAGGCCAGCAATGTCGCCAGAGAGACTGTGGCAGACAGGAGATTGATGTACAACATCTGATTGTACTTCGTCGTTTTGTGCTCCTCCGAAGTCGCACTCAGCAGGACCAGCCAGCAATCCGCTCACGACTGCTGACACCGGTGAGGGCGCGGGGATCGAGGCTTCAGCCTTGAAGAGCTTTTCTTGGAAGGTTGAGGTCAGCCCGTCAAGAGCCAGGAAGCCGCCCAGGAGAAGGAAGCCCTTGGAAGGCTCTTCCAAGCTCTTCCCGCAGAGTTCTCAGCTTGGCTGTGCCTTGAAGCTGTTGGCGGAGCTCACCTTCGAGTGCGTGGGACCTGCCGTGTTTTGACTCGTCTCAGCTCCTCATGATCCTAAGCATACATGTAGTAACCATTGCAAACATAACACGAGCCGGGAATAAAATAATACCAATAGGAAGAGCAACAACAGCAACAGTATCAACAAGACGAGGAAGAAGACCAATAATGACAACCAACAACAACAATGAGAGAACAACAGTAATAGCAATTCAAGAGTAATAAGAAATTCCTACCGCACTGAGCTTTGAGCCCCCGGCCGGTCATCAGAAACTCCGTGCAGCCCAGTGTGACGGCAAGCGCCACCGACCAGTCCCTCATTCCTTACGGAGAGCAGGACGGGAGGATTTGATTTTTGTTGAGTCGAGGGTGGATTTCAGAGTGTTTGTTGGTTTTTTGGCGGTTTTTTGGCGTAGAGTTCGGGAGTTCGCAGAGAAAGGAAGTTGATCTCGCCAGCTTGGCAGGGGGCCGTAGGTCTTTCCGGAGATGATGATGCCCCAAATCATCACGGGCATCATCTTGAAGCTCTTCCCAAGCATCCTCGGGTCAAAAAAAGGAACACAGGGTTTAGGATGGTTTAAGCATTAGGGTTGCAAAACATGGTATTTTATTGCACCTGAACCTTGAAGCCTGAACCTCAGAGAGGCCTGGCGAGCAGAGATCATGCTCGGAGACTTGCGTCTCTTTGCTTCCAAGCGTCTGCACAGCGAAAGACACATATTTCAACGCCTCGTGGGCAGACTGTATGATGTAAACATATGTAGGCTACAGGACATCACTGGAATGTCAAGGACGGCTTTCCGAACAAACGTTGCCTCGTACTGGCAAGAGCTGGCGTAGACGTTCGACAAGGAGACGATCAGATACTTCCAAATGGGTGCCTGCCCACTCCAGTGCCAAGCTAGCTGCTAGCTACTTGCAGCACGCAGCCTCATTCTGCATTCTCTCACCCTTGACGAATGCCTCAGGTCACTCCGCTGTATCAGAGAGCCTTTCACTCGCCCCAAGAATCAAAGAAGGAACCAAATGTAGTCAGGTCTGCCATTGCTGCAGCAAAGAGAACAGCGGCCAATCGGTTGCAAAGCACGAGAAAGACCTCAGCAACTTTGGTGAGGAGTGCAGAAGGCAACACGCCACCTGCTCAGGTGCAGTAGCTCGTCATAGTACTTTGCGTCTCTTACATCTGCTTCTCACGTGGCGCTGCAGTTGCTTGCTTGCGGATTCCTGCTGAATGCCATCGCTCCCTCTTCATTCTTACTCTCATGCTCAATTCTGTCATCTCTCTGGCAATTCTGTCATCTCTCTGGCTTAGAGAACAGTGTGGCTCAGCAACGTGACTCCGCCCAGGCACTGAGTATGTGAAAAGGCTGCCGTCATAAGACACCGTCATGATGCCTTCCTGCACGATCTGAAGCTCAAGGGCACATACGCAATCTTCCCACACGCCAAGCCGCATGCACCTAATTTTTTTGAACGGCGGATGCCTGCAGAATGCCGTAGACCACCAAGGTTCCTGGGTGGAGGTAGGATACAAAAGTCTCGCGCATTGGTACCCTCACTTCAGCCCCAGCCATGGCTGGGGCAGCCGGAATGGCTTTCGACGCAAGAACAGTCGTCGTCAAGTCGGAGGTCATCCTCGTCTTAGTCGCTGTGGTCGTCGTCTGCTCCGAAATACCCTCTGAGTTCAACAGCAAGCTTCCAATGATTCCCGCACCATAGAAGGCGCACCATGCGGCAGAAGTTGTAGAGACTTGACCTCTCCAGACACATTGCCAAAGCAATCAGTGCCGTTCTAACCTGTTCTGACACTTTACCCGCAATGGATACTCCACCTAAGGCCCTCAGAACTCTCACGGCGCCTTCCATGATTTGGCATACACTACGCTAAGCGGAGAGGCTGGATGAGGGTAAGAAACAGCGTTGTGGGCCCAAGGGGCTGCAGGCCATGCACCTCCGCCAAAATCCGTGCTACCTGAGACATGCATCTCGGTGCGCTGATTGCAGAGCCTTGCTCGCTGGCGCAGACATCACCGTCACTCCAATGGGAGATAGGTTCGACTACGTGGCAACGCAACATGCCCGACCCCGACAAGGGAGCTTGGACGTGGAGCGGCAAGCCAATGTAAACTTTTCAGGAGTGGCTCTAGCCATCTCACTGGTTCCGAAAAGATGCTAAAAAGAAAGTCACATGCACATCCATGGAAAACCACACTGGTGGGAGGCCGGACAGCCGGCAGGCACCGCCACCGACACCTAAATGATACCGTCAGGATCAGGAAACTCAGTCTGCTGTCCCGACGTCCTGAGACTCCATACCACATCACTTGTGCCAATGACTCACCAATGATCCCTCGAGTGCAGATCTATCCCACGTTCCCGCTGCACAAAAGCCCTGACTGCACTTCGGATGGCCTGCAAACACGCCTAAACGGCTTTACCTGCATCGCCTCCGCCCAGTGGGGACTCCACAGCCTCCAAGCTTCACCACGTGAGCTGACACCACCACATGCTGCTTCATGAAAGCTTTCGCCACCATGAGACAGGCCAGAACTACACCAGCGACAAAGAAGTACTGCGCACAGGTGCAATAAAAGAGAAAGTAAAACAGAAAGAGAGCGGGCGGGTGCGAGAGCGAGAGCCAGAGCGCGAGCTGGAAAGCTACATCTAGTCAATCTACTCCCGTCGCAGAGATTCGGACTTCAAGCTTGACTTGACGTATGAACTCCGCGTATTGCATGTTCCATCTGTTTCTCTTTACCTACACATGATGTCGGCCTGGGGCACCAGACCCTGAAGCCTGCACATGCGAGGCGTATCTTGGACGGCCCTCGACTGGCCAGCCAGCCTTCTGATCTGCGAGAATGGGCGTCTTCTCTTCCTTGCTGGGTGCGTTCATCATGGCCGCAATCCTTGATGCATTTGGCGGCTCAGGCATGGAAGTCTTTCAAAAATGAATGTCGATCCACTGTCACTTCCGAGATGGCCCAGGCACGGGCCCTGCTACCGAGTTTCGACTTGTAGAAAAGAGCAGAGAAGATCAAGCAGAGGCCTAGAACTTGCAAGTGCGTCACCGGGTTGTGATACTTGACCTCGGCGGCTCATAAGAGTTCATGCGATTGACCTATCAAGTCCGCGCGGGCATGGTCATTGCTGTCTCTTGTGAATGTCGGGCGGCATAGGACACCAGGATTGACACGACCTGGCGAACGTTCATCGTGGCCGCAAAGACCAAGGCGCCAAACTCTTTAATCTGCGAGTAGATGAAGAACCTTGCGTCTATGTCATACTGGCAAGCTGCTCATTTTCAGCTACATGGCAAACAAGCAGCCACTGTTTGCTTTCATATCACCTTTTTCTCAAGCACTTACCAAGCAAAAAAGGGGCAGTTGCAACTGCTCACCCTCTCCGCACCTGTACCTTCTTTCGTCTCCGTTCTACTTCTTCTTCCTCTGCTCCTTCATTCTCGTGTGTTGCTTCTCCCACTGTCCTGTTACACTTTGTCCAGGGCTTCAAGTGCGAGTCACTCCCGAAACCAAACACACCTTTTTTCTTTTTCTCCTTGTGCTTATTCTTCTTGTTATTATTGTTCTTCTCGCCCTCTCGCCTTCCCTCCCAAAAGCATGATTGCTATGTCTCATTCCGAACCCTGAGCCAGGCGGCTCTGCCTGCTTCATTTCAAGACAACAAGCCACTCTCAGATCATGAAACATATTATATACTAGACACCAACAAACAAGCTGAACTGAGTCATGCTGCTGGCTTGCCACCGCCGATGCACTCAACAGGCCGCAGTCCAACCAGAAGCGCCTTCGCCAAAGGATTCGGAATCATGGGTGTCGCAGTGAGGCTTTTGCTGCTCTTATTTGTTTCGTCAGGGCTGATGAGGTTTCCGATTGTTGTTTCTTGCTGTATTACTATGAGTATATACATGAACATTACCCAATGCGTTTCAACATCAAAGATCCGAGGAGCGGGTGGGCGAAGCCGAAAGCTGCCGCTGGCCACAGCTCTCCGGTCACCTTCGGCTGTTGGTGATTTAAGGCGGTGATGCCCTCTGTCGCGTTTACAGCTGAAGGAGCAGTAACTGGGTAGATAAGAAATGCTTTTGCAAGGGTCTCATCACGATTCTGAAACATGTCAAGGTGGTTGTCGCGAGGAGCTCCACTACCATAACAACGAGACGTGGTAAAAGGTACTCTGGTTTCTGGCTTTGTGGTGATTTGGTTGTCCATCTTGTAGGACTGGTGTGAAAGTACCCCCGCATAAAAGCCGTGCTGACCTGTCCGAGTCCAACTATGTTCCCGGCGCTTGTTTTGTAGGTCCTTCTTATTCCTGTGATGAAACGTCTTGTTGCACCCTGAACTCTGTGTCCAGGGGCGCCATCGTGAAGACTACTACTCATTGCGGCAAGTGCTATGACCACCACTCCGGCCCACGCGTTGTAACCCTCTGCTGAGGTGTTCACCAAGAGCGTGACCATTGACACAGTGGCAGAAAGCAGATTGATGTACAGCATCTGGTTGTACTTGGTCGTCTTGTGCTCCTGCCCCGACAGGTCCGAAGGCAACACACGCCTTACATTCCGAAGGTCACTGCGACATGCACACCTCTCGGCAGTACATGCATAGAAATAGGGGAGAGACAGGGGCCGAGTCTCACGGGATTCACTGCAGCTACCGGTTCCTTGAAGAGCTTCTCTTGGAATGTTGATGTCAAGCCATCGAGGGCAAGGAAGCCACCCAGCAGCAAGAAGCCCTTCCGCGAACCCAATGCTTCGAGGATACAGGCCGATCAGCACTCAAGGCGCACAGTTCGCACGGGAGAACTTGCTGCCTTGAAGCTGTTGTTAGCATCCACCTTGGAATGTGTTGGACCTGTCGGAAATGACCGAAGCATTCTACTGTCTCCAGCCGACCATCGTGTCTCTTGCTCAGCTTCAACAACACTACACGTAGCTGGAGCAGAGCTCTCGGTGCGAAACAAGCAGGATCAAGCAGGTATCGCATGCCAAGGGCCTGTCATCAGGAACTCCGTACATCCCAGCGTGACGGACAGGGCTATCATCCAATCGCGTGCACCTGATGCTTCCGCCCAGTTGTTTGACATTGGAATAAGATGCTGAAAACACAATCCTTGGGCAGGGCGCTGTATGACTTGCCGGAGATGATCATGCCCCAGATCCTCACTTCCAAGCACTGCCGCGACGAGGACATCTGAAAATCACAGACACAATGTGCGACTGCGCGTGCACTGGCGGAGCGAGCGTCATGACCGGCATCATCTTGAAGCTCTTTCCCAACATCTGCACTGCGAAGGAGACATACTTCAGTGCCTCCGAGAAGCATTGCAGCATGGCACTTATCTAAGGTTTCGGGATGTTTGTGGTGCCTCGTACTGGCAAGAGCTGGCGTACACGTTGGAGAGGGACACGACGAGGTATTTCCACAGTGGGGCCTGCCCGAGCATCGCCACACCGCAGCAAGTGAGGTCTGGCAAACGGCTCGCTTGGCATGCCAGCCGCTTTGCAGGCGGACGTGCCAGGGAAGACTCTGAGACAGAGATAGAGCGAGTCAGAGTGACACAAAGAGGGGACAGGACAAGACAGAGATTGGGAGCCAGACTGACAGATCGCTCCAGGACCGAACCTCGTTCTTCATAGACTCGCCCTTCGCCATTGCCTCGGCTGCATCCATTCTGCGCATCCCTTTGCTCGTCCACCGGGTGAAGGAACTGGGTGATCCCTAAAAAAAAACCGTCTTGCATAAGCCGCTACTCTACTCAGCTTATGTATGCACCGACACCTTCTGCACCCATTCGCGCAAGGTGTTCTAAGGCCCGTTTTGTACCTGGCAGAACACCTTCGAATCTAAACGGCTTGAGATCAGGTATGGGTTTCTCTTTTGCTGTTTGGCTTCGTTGCGGCCTGGTCCCAACCTTCACCAAGCCGGTCTTTGCAGCAAACTCGTTAACTAGTATCAACAGAAGTGCTTTACCTCTGCTTGCATCGAGCTGACCATGGCAACTGCAAAGGCCACCGCTGCCAAGCGATTGCAAAGAACGAGGAAGACCTGAGGAGCAAAGCGAAGATAGATGCCAAAGCGTTCGCAGCATCAGAGGAGGACGACTGAATGCCTTGATGCCTCGATCAGCCGAGAGGCGGAATATCTGAAGAGGGTTCCATCGTAAGCTACCGTCATGATGCCCTCCTGCACGGCGTGCCGCATTCACTCCAGCTCTGCCTCACTACACCTTCCATTGCACCTGCAGAAACCTGCAAAGGAAGAACGAAAGCTCAACAAGCAGACGGAGACGCGCAGGCCCAGCACTGAAGCAGATGAAATGGCCACTTTTTTTCGACACCCGAGCTGCCACAGCCGCGGAATATTTCTTTCCAAAACGCCGGCACGATCCGATCTTTGAGAGGAAATCAACTTTCGCACATGGGTCCTGTCCCCCCACTGCAAGCCAACGTTTTCCAAACCCAGGTGACCAAGTGCGGGGTTTGGCCCCAGCCGCCCAGAAGACAGCATATCCTTGTGGTTTTGAAATTCTTTGCCCAGGACCTGCGGGCATTGCAGGGGCAGGCAAAGGTCCAAGCGAGGCATGTGTCATAGCTCGGACGAAGTGAAAACCGCAAGGACGCAAAGCTTTCAGTACAAGTAAACGGCAGTCAGGTCAGTTCGGACAGAAAACATGGGCAACTTGAGGGCTTCGGTTCCACGGGTGGCAATGCCTGTCACAACGGCAAGGAAGAGTCGAGTCAATCAAAACAACATGGGAGACGAGACGAGCCGTCGCAGGTAACATGTGACCGAGCCAGGAATCCTCATGATGTGGATTTCAAACATTTTACGCAGGTGCAACATGTCGCACCCAGCACAAAAATTTCAGAAGCCGATTCCAAACTCCAAATTTTGTATCAAGCCTGCCTGCTTCGCAAAAAGTACAGTACTGTTTGGCTTCACCTGATGCCATTGGCCGGAGGTCTTGAAAGTTTCGTTTCACTGTACATGCTGGGTGGCCATTTTCCTGTACCAACACGGCACGACAACGACTGGCAAGAAGAACGAACACTATACACAGGTTCGACGAGTGCTTGCTTGCCTGCCTGGAGGATGCCGTAAACTACCAGCGTGCAAATGATCCCAGCACCATAGAACCTGCATAAGGCCATAGTGTCTTCCGCATCCGTTTGGAATCCTTCACTCTTTGTCGTCTAGGGGCTGCGCGAGTGTGAGGACGATAGCGGCGAACCGATCATGCATCATGGATATCGGAAAGTATAAACTGGAAACCCAACACCTTTCAAGTCTAAGCTGCCGCGAAGAGGCCCTAACCACCCCCAAATCGCTTGAAAGGGACAGTTACCGCTTCTACACCCAAACCGGCCACCCGAAGAGGGCTTTCGCCTGAGGCTCAGGTCCGCAGAGTTCCTCGAGAACCCTGCACCAAAGGTTTTCCTTTGTTACTGCTACTCTTACTGGCATGAATAACAGCAAAATTAAAAAAAAACAGCTCTTGTAGTAACAGAGTATTTTTAAAAAACCCTCTAATAATGCGAACAGCAATACCGATGGTATTACTGCCATCGAGGAGCACACACCAGGCGGCAGAGGACGAGCTGGGACCTGGCTGGCTGCTCTGGGACCCTGGAAGTAGCCCTCAAGCCTCTGATGTTAAGAACCCTGCATTTCAGATAGAAGTGGGGGGGGGGGGGGCGGTCTGGTCTTTCCAGCAGCATACCAACTACATCAACTTGGCGCAGCATCAAGCCCTGCAGCTGAGCCGGTTTTTCGTTGGCATCTGCCCGACGCACTCAATGCAGGAATGCGGCTCTCTGCCATCGGCGCGCCCGGCATTGCTTCGCTTCACGGGTAGTAGTAAGGAAGGAGGATCGTGTGACTTTGAGCCAAGCTCCGACAAGCAAAAACTCCAACTCGCTTGTAAAAGCTATCTTCTTTGGGGGCGGGGAACGGCCTGGGGATTGACAAACAAACCATCAGTCGCTGAAGCATCAGTGCCCCCCAACGAATCTCAGCTGGCCTCTTGTTCTGCCTCGCTGAAGGCATCGATTGTTTCCGCCTGTTCATGTGGCAACACCAAGACCGAGAAGCTGCACAGAGATCTTTGACGACGGGATTTCCCGCCTTCCGGCGCTCAAATACTGTTCCTCGCAAGACTCCGGCATAGCTGCGGCGATGCAATGCCATAGCAAGTCTTGGGGGTAGAGATGGCAATCACCATGACCAGGGTCTACTCGGCTCTTTCATTGATCGTCTTCTGCTCCATCACGGTCCATCATAAGGACTTTGTGGTGGGGGGAGGGGTTGCAGAGGCGGACTCCCGGCCGTGTTGCGTGCTTGGCCTACCATCCGAGCCATGTCTGAAACCGCACAGCGCGAGAGACTGGCGAAGTCGGAGACACTCGTTTGCAGAGGGTTTAGCCTTGGCAACCTTGCAAGATGATCTCAAAATAAATGTCCCCACTTTTCCGATTCCTGCACTGAAAACTGAACCCCGCTCATCATTGCAAAGCCTGCGCAAGTCCTCCTCCTTCAATTTTAACGCCGAAGTCCAAGTAAAGCACTCAACCGGCCCCTACTAACCAACAAACTTTTGAGAGCCTGGCAAAGTAAAGAACCCCGCTGCGCCTGAACGCCTGAGATCCGTGAGATCCCCCGTGAGATCCCCCTGAGCCCTGAATTCTGCGGCCCGGGGCGTGAGGAACTCCATCTCGCGCTCGGAGAAGTAGGGCGCCTCGTGCACCGCAGCTCCCGGTTGCTGGACCTGATGGCCAGAGACACAAGAAACAAAAAGAGAGACAAAGAGAGAGAGAGAGAGAGTGGCCAGACAGGGATCCAGAAGAGACAGAAGATGGCCCACGAGAAGTCGCCTCATATAACTGAGAGAAGGACCTGCAAGCTATCGCGAAAACTAGATGGCCCTTAGGGTGGAGAAGAACTGCTTCCAGCAACCTACAGCCTCCAATATCTTGGTGGCCCTGGATGTTGCCCGGGGTGCGGTAGCAAAGCTGAAGCCGGCATATTACATATATTTGTGACATTTTCTGACGTTCCATTCATAAGACTATGCCCACAAAGCTTGGGTTTGGGAGGGCACAGGAAGGCGAGGCTGGAACACGCCTTCTTCTGTCAATTGCAATCATTGACTACTCAGCGATGCCCGGACAACATACATCGCAGACATTTGCATTGTGGGCCATGCTCAAGAGTTCGACCCCGACGAGTTCACACACAAAGCATGCTGTGCACAGGAACCGTGCTCTTCACTGAAAGCTGCCGGTTTCCGGTAGGCATCTTCAGGCTCCGCAGTGGATCGAAGAGCATGCAGTTTCTACTGGAAACCGTGCAGTGTTCAAGTGTGCAAGAGACCTCGTTCAGTAATACGCCTCTCTCGTGTTTGCTAAGTGTGGCCTCGGACCCAGATTCTCATGTCCGTGCCTTGTCGGCAGCGAATCGGTGGCGGGGCGCAGCGCTAGTGCTCGCCACGGACCTGGTCTCACTTAGCAGATAAGTAAAAGCAAGGCATATAAACATGTGCTAAACTGTCCCTCGGATCTCAGCCGCATGCCGCTGCCCAGTGGTCAGGCGAGCGAAGATGGAGCTCATGGGCCCCGAGGACTTGGCGAAAATTCCGCACGCGGGGTCTTCAGGGACTTCCTAAACGAGTCTCGTCGCTGGCAGCGTAACAAGGGATGCAACGCCAAGCTCGGCACCTTCTGCTCTCCTGGGCGGAAAGAGACACGTCAGAAGTAGAGGCTTGCATCATGCACCAATCGAGCTGTCGAGAGATCCTCCCATCGACTGAGATACCAGCGGATTCGTGCCCAGAGCCCGTTCAGGAAGGCAAAGTCTTGGCCTGGCGCGGACCCACTCATTACTAGTAATCGGTTTCTGCAGTATTCCGTAGTCTACACTACAAGTAGCATCATCTAAGCCAAGACACTACACTAGCGAATTAGTCCCCGCTCCATCTCCCGGAACCGCGAAGATTTGGCCGCTGGGGCCTTCCACAGGAGGCGGTGTTGCATTGTCCTCGCAGTGCTAACTCTTGGCGCTTCTTGGCCCCATCACCGCCTAAGTCATCTGGTGCCTTGGGTGGGTGGTCTGACACTTCACAGCCCCTCACGAAGCTGTAAGGGTGGAGTATGGGTCATTGAAGGTCATTGATGCCGCGCTGCTCGAAAATAGCCACCAAAACCTACTCTCACAACCAGACAAGATCCAGACGACCCCTGCCGGACAGCTGGCCCAGCACACACCCCGGCAAGCGACCCAACAGCACTGTTGCAAAGGCTCGATCAGCTCACGCAGTTCATTAGGCCGGAGCAAAGTCAAGAGAGTATAAATACTGCAAAATTTATGTACACCAGCTCACGCCTATACTGCTTTGCCGCTCCTCTGCATCAGAGTTGGTGCCGCCGGTGCGGGAGAGCGTACTTAGTGCTGACTTCACACGCTGTCTGCTCTCGACTCAGCCTGTAGAGCTCAGCTCGCCCTATCAATCCTACTCGGAACCATGCTTGATGGAACCCCAAGCCGCTGGCTCTGCAGTGAAGCGTGATGATAGCGGATCAACAGGACCTCGCGAAGCCTTGAGCAGGCGTTCAAGCTCGTCTCTGACTCCTACCGTGAGCCCCATGTAGCCTTGCAGACAATGCAATTGCCCCAGGAACATGCACGATGAGCCGATGGCTTACTCTTGACATTTCCTTGCAGGCCCAAGTCACTTGAGCAGATGCAGCATCCTCCGCCGAAATCAAAGCCTGAAGCAGCGGCGCACTCCAAGCTCTGGAACGCCACAAATGACAAGATCACCAAGAAACTTCGGTCTCAAACTTGAGGTCTGCACCCGCAACTCCGATAAAATGAAAAGGCATCAAATCCGAAACCAGGCCCTCGCCCGCTGAGAGGTCGGGCCTTGTAGCCCGACTGCTGCAGGCCACTGCGCCCCTGCAAGAGCGTAGCCCGGTGCTCGATGAGCAGCATCAGGAAGAGAACCTCCGACCACAAGTAGCAAAAGACTGCAGCCAAGATTCATAATTCATAATCCTAGCTGCTCCTCCCAAGTCGACTCCTAATCAGCCTGGAATTGAAAAGTGTGCATCGTGAATAACGACCCTGACGCTGAGGGGATGGCATAGAGGCAGACCTCGGTAATTCAGGCTCCCCCAGCGCACCACTTCCTCTACTGACTCTGCTGGGGGGGGCAACGTCCGCATAGAATCTCGAGCATGTTAGCAGAAATCTTTGCTAACAGGCTGCATGGGAGCACGAGATCCCACGAGATGCGGCGGAAATCTATGGCTCCGTCGTGCCACACACCGCAGACAGAAGCTGCGTTTCCATCCGGCCACAACTTAAAGTGCGGATGATGGTTTGACCGTCTTCTCCAAACGAGCAGATGCACCCTGGCAGAGCCCGAAGTTGAAATTAAACATTGGAGATACCGTGATGTTAGAAAGCACCACAACAAATACGTCCATGAAGAAACATGAGCAGATGGTGAGAAGGGTCCACCTTCTCTCTAACAGTCTGACAACAGCAACAGCAAAAACCATGAAGAACTTGCAGAAGCCAGCCTAAGCCAGGGCCCCTGGCCAGGAGCTGGTCCGTGGTCCACGCGTAGGCAACATAGGGGGCCGTGCCATAGGAGATGACAACAAAGCCTGTCATGCCGGTGCTGGGGGCTTTTGGCTCAGGTCTGGGATTTAAGACCAGAGGGCTTAGGGCTTAGAGAGTCCATTTGCTTCGGGTTCGGAAACCCCGACACTGCCGGAGCTGAGGCTGCTCGGGGTTCGGGGATAGCTGCCTCCAGGATGTGAGCTTAGGTCTTCGGGAATGAAGGCATACGATCTTTAGTAGCCGAAATTTCGAGAGCACTGGCGGCCTAGTAGGATCCAGACGTTGACTCCAGCAGCAGCCATGGTCTGGGCGAAGCGCGACCACGTGAAAAAAAGGGGAGGGGGGGATGCAGATTCATGAGCTTTAGCCGCTTTAGCTCTTGGGCGAGGGTTGGGAGCCTTCTGCTTTGTGGAGTTCAAACAGGAAAAGACATCAAGACACGAGGGGGCACCGCTTCCACCACACACTGCATTTCTACCGTTCATGTTTTGCCCATCTCGCACGGGTCTGGGAACTACCAGTCGAAGTGCACAGAATGGTAATGAAACAGTCTTCCGGCTTTGGCTAGTCTTAGCTGCTTAGCTGCATGAAGCTTCCGAAGCATGCCTACTCATCACGTGCCTTCAGTCTTGGAGGTTTGAAGGGCCTGGATTGCCAGCTTGTGGCTATCCTGGCTATCCTGCTCCTGAGTCCTTTGTAAGACGCACCAGGCTCTCTCTCTTGGCAGGCACTGAGCACCGGGCCAGTGTGGCCAGCGCCTCGGTGGGTTAGGGCAGAAGCTGTGCCTCTCATCGATGTCTGGAGCGGGGGGCCAAGCTCCTACGCTCTCTTGCCAGCAACCCCTTCTCCAGGGCTCCAGCTGGTCCGGAGGGCGCGGTGACGCTGGGTGGGACAAAGCCCAAGACCTTCGTCGAGCAAGACTGAAGCCACTCCTGGTCCGACACCCACTAGAAAGCCATCACCTCCACACCATCATAACATCAGCCACAGCAGCCTCTCGTGTCTTCCCTCGTCTAGAGATCTCAGGCTTCAAGATTTGAGTAGGCTGTGAGAAGCTCTATGCAACATCATGACAGACACCGTCTCCCGTGTCAAGGATGATCGGCAGGTCAACGAGGGCAAGACGCTATGAAGCGGGATGTAGGAGGCATAGAGGAGGCAGAACACGATATCCTGCGGCAGCATGTGTACCGCGGCAGCTGCTTCGATGCCAGCTTTCTCGACCCGCGTGGCGAAGGCGGCTGAGGACCGCACGGATAGCAGCCAAGCTTGTGGAAGGGAGCTCATGAGGAAAACTGTCACCTCGAACTGGGTTGTATTGCCAAACTGCGTCGCAGATGTGATTTACCCAGTGTTGAGGACATTCGGACCGGCGTGAGTCCAATGTCCATGGCACTCCTCCTGCGATTCCTAGCTACACGCACGAGGACGACGAGCGCAGCCACGAAAGCACAAGCGACATCCCATTGGGCCCCGGACGGAGAGCGCAGCCTCAGTAAACCAGAGAGTGTCAAAGCAGGACATTTTGCACGAAGCCGAGCTCACATCCAAAAATTCAGAAGAACCCTAAATCGATTTGTGTGTGTGTGTGTGTGTGTGTGTGTGTGTGTGTGTGTGTGTGTGTGTGTGTGTGTGTGTGTGTGTGTGTGTGTGTGTGTGTGTGTGTGTGTGTGTGTGTGTGTGTGTGTGTGTGTGTGTGTGTGTGTGTGTGTGTGTGTGTGTGTGTGTGTGTGTGTGTGTGTGTGTGTGTGTGTGTGTGTGTGTGTGTGTGTGTGTGTGTGTGTGTGTGTGTGTGCGTGTGCAAAAGCGTCTATCGATTTCAGCCAGCTACCTATCTACCTATTTACACCTACCAACCAACCTAGCTATCATCTGTGCATGTACGGCTCGAGGTTTCGACATGCACAGAACAGGGCGCAGCTGGATAATCGCATGGTTTTCCTCGTAGACTACTTGTGTACTCTGCAATGCAAACCGCTCTGCCTACTACTTCTCACCTAGTTTTCATGAACATAACTCGTATCAAGAAGTGCCCAAGTTTTCCGGTGCATTCACTCGGCCGCTGTCACTCCGGGTACGGCTTTGGAGCCGGAGTGTGACCTTCCAGTAAGGAGGGCAGCCGTTTCGCATCGAGAAGAGGGAAGTACCTCAGATACTACGTTTGCCAGTCTTAGCGTTAGTGTTGCTTGGACAAGGTGGGACTCTGCCGAAGCCAACATCGTTACAGATGCGTGCATTATGCTTACAAGCTGGATCGAAATAGACTCCCTGCAAGCACCCGGCAATCACAGACAGGTACAGCTGTTGCTTCAACAATCTAGGGCTGCCTCTGCGCCACCCTTTCGCGTTTTCGAGCTTGAGTTCGCATGAGAGCCTTCTTCTGAGGAGGCCTGCAAAGATCGTCGACATGTTAATCGGCGGGGTCGCACTCGAGTGCGGGTGCCCCACACATTCCGCTCTGACAGGCTGCTTGGTGAACGCTGGGAAGTTCCTGTCCCTGAGCAGTGCGAAGAGGGCAAGCCGAAACCTCAGTTTTCATGCAAGCCTGCGACTTCAAGGAAATGTCGCGCCTCGTCTCCGATCATACGAGGCCAAACGATAAAACCGATAATAGCTTTCTTCTCCGAGCGACACTCCGCTGAACTCCGTGGCCAGAAGTTGCTGGAAGGTTTCTGCCTTTTGGCAGAGAGGTTTCTGTGCCGTACGCGGGAAACTCAACGTCATGGAAGGCACATATGGTCGTGACTCTACTCACAGGTAAGGTCGATGCAACCACCTCCGCCGGATTGCCTGGAATCACACACGTGCGGCACAGCGTCTCACTAGCAGTCTAGCACATAGGAGAACTTGCAGGATTGGTGCTGAAGTATCCGCAGCCGAACGCGCCAAGCACGACGGCATCGTGGCCTGTGCCGGTTGAGAACTTGAGCACAGGGGCATCGGCCAAGCTTTGAGAAGTTGCGTCTCTCTTTCGCAGATATTGAGGCCACTGCCGTTCTCCCGTGCCATCCACAAGACCGTGCGAATCTTCTCGCGCAGAAGCTCGCGCCCTCAAAACCACCCCCAGCAAAGACATGCCCTGTGCTGGTGTTGTGGTGCAGCTAAAGGCACGGAGCGCTGGCAATCTAAGCACTGGTGCAACAAAAAGCTTCTGCTCTTACCAAGCCTATGAAGCGATTGACCTTGCATTCTCTGAACATATCTGGGCATCCACGCTAAAGGGTGGACTGCGCGTCACATCCTGCAAATGGGCTCAGTAAAGCTTCAAGCAGACTATGACTATTCATCAGCCCAAGCAGAACATACCGTCGCCTTCCATACGACGACTCATGCGCGAGCTGATCCATCCTGGGCCGCGACGGTGGCCACAGCCACCTCTGCATCCGAGGCCATCAGGCGAACCTTGCGTTCTGTACACATTCGGTCCTCTGCTTCTGATCACGAATGCAATGCATCAAGGCTGCGTAAGGGGAATAGATGCCTCCGCACTCGGTGTGCTCGTAGAAAGGCTCCTCGCCGTTTAGGAATGCAAAGGCAACGGTTTGCCACGAAGGTGCCGCGCATTCAGGACGGCTTTCAAGAGTCTTTCGATAACATTGTACTTGCAGTGGGTGTACATTTACCATTTACATATTGTCATGCACCCAAAAAGGTAGCCAGCTGCCTCCTAACATTCGACCCTAGGACACCTAGTGGCAAGATTGCTCATGCAGGTGAAACCGCTCGGCTCCTTCCGCGGAAGCAATTCGTCAAAGTCGCCGATCCAAGTGCCACGTTTGAGCACTCCAGGGCCGTCATCCTGATAATGTCGCTGGTCTATTGAAGACAGCCCACCATCAGGAAATGAGCAGGCAGCGTGAGGGTAACTGAGAGCGAGGGATCGTCGCAGTATGTCAACAGCCATCCCCGCGTGAATAATCTGGACAGTAAGTATTATATGAAGGTGTCTATGTGTGTATGTATGTATGCATGTATGTATGCATGTATGTATGTATGGTATGTATCTCTATAAATATCCGTGTGAATGTAATTGTGTGGGTACATGAATGTATGCACGTATGTCTGTATGTACGTATGCATACCTGCATGTATGTGTGTCTGGAGCATCTGCTCTTGCCAAAATGACCATTTGCTTGGTACTACTGTTCTCAACCACATTCGCAGACATTGGCCTGCAGGTTCCTAAGATCTTCTTACCCCCATATATCTCCAGGTATGCACGTAGAGGGAAGAGAGGGAAGATGTTACGGATAGAGAGAGGGAGAGAGATAGAAAAAAAGAGAGAGCGAGAGAGAAAGAGAGAGAGAGAGAGAGACTGCGAGTGAGACAAACCTATAATTAGCTTCCTGGAAAAGCATGTTTCGACTCTAGATGGGTGTAGCGGTGTACATATACACGAGCACTTCACTCTAGATGGGTGTACATATACATGAGCAATTCCTACCTACCCTACCCTAGCCCATGCCACCCTTAGCAGAAGCGCCCAGATCAACCTGCTACCGCAACCTCAAGCGAGGCGATCCTTCCTGCGATGCGGCCACAAGCTGAGGAACAGCCTGAGAAGCTGGAGTCGGAAGCACCTCCTGACTGTCTGAGAGGCTGAGCGCCGCACGAGGAGGAGCGGAAGATCGCCTCTTCCTGGCTGCCGGAAGCATGTTCGAAGCCTGTGCAAGGGAGTCTAAGGGATCCCATGGGGCTCAAGATGACAAGCGCCCGCTTGGCCTCCTCCACAATTGTAGCCATGCGCGAAGTTTAGTATGAGAGCGCGCAACCCAAGATCTGGCAGATGGTGCAAAGGAGACAACGAGACTGCCTGCACGAACAACCCTCTGGCTCAGAGTCCCACCCGCTGCGACTTTTGCAGCATCCAGGGTGGACGCCTGGCTGAGTACCGGCAAGGCTTTTCAAGCTTGCGATCTCTAGACACCTGATGCGAACTCGGGGCGTCATGCGTGCATTTCGCAGAGCGGAAGAGGCCGAGGCAATGAAGGACGCAAAGGAAATGCAGATCGAAGCACTGCTCAGCCTCCATGATCCCCTGCAGCGTTGGCAAGGTGCCAGGGGGCGAAGAAGGCGCTGGACACCTAAAATGCACCAAGAAAGCAGAGAGGCTTGCAAAGGCCGGCTTTCTCCTGGGTGCCGCCCAGTGACGCCATGGTGAAGGTGTAGCTGCTGGCAATCTCGCAACCTTTGAGAAGTGCAGCTTCTGAAGCATTCTGAAGCACAGGCCTACAGCAATGTCCTGCAGTTTGGAGCGGCACAAGACGCAATCACGGAATCTCCCCACTTCTTTCCAAGCGTCGCTCGCGTTCTTCAACGGGCAAGCTGAGCAAGTTGCAGATCGTCTCATGCCTTGGAGAAAACTGCCATGGTCAAGGCGGCACCGATGTCAGCACTAAGGACGCAAAGCGGGCACTGTTGGCTTTCTTGTGAAATGTCGTCCTAGGTGACAGGCCGCCACTGACTCTTGAGATCCCCGCATTTGCTTCTCTGCTCGCGAGAGGCTCGGCTTCGGCGTTGGCAGTGGACGTCGCATGGCGGCGCCGGTGCGTGGAGTGCGGTCTCCACACAAGCAGCTCCGAAAAACTGATCTTGAACATGAAGCTAACTGCATGGCCGTTGAATGCCGCTCTGCCGCCATAGATCGGCGCACTGGCTTCTCTAGTGACTGCATCGTCCTATGACCTAGGCTACAACCTGATGTAAGGGCCAACACGGGCGAAGCAGAGCCTGGACTAAAGTCTGCGAAGCAAAGCCTGAACCTGTCCGTGCAATCTTTGCCTTGAGTACGATGTGCTAACATGCCAGAATTCCCACATCGCCACCATGCAGCTTGAACCGCCACCACACGATTCCCTCCACGCTGGGCCGCGGTCGTTCATGATCATGAGCTCGTTGTCTCCCCGGTCCGCCACAAAAGCGAAGATGCCGGGCAAGGGCCTAGGTTCTTTCGGTCAAAAGCTCCCTGGCAGGGTTGCGACAACTTCAGACTGACGCATCTACCAGGCACCTTACTGCGTGCAGGAGCATTCCAATCTTGAACTTACGGCTAGGGTCCAGGGTACCCTCGGGACCTGACAGAGCAGCGGCGCTAAGCATGCCCGAGAGCCCAGCAGAAGAATGCGCCAAAGATCTCTTCGGCTGGCGACTGAAGCCAGAAACTCGCGATCGAAGGACTTCTGAAAGTACCTGCTGACAAGAGTGAGGAAGGCCCCGACCTTCACAAGGCTTCCGGCAGAGCGGCCTCCGAATCTCCGGGCCCAAGACCGCGCAATCTTTCAGCGAGGCCGCCGCAAAGGCCTGCTGCCCAAGAGGCGCTGGGGCAGCCGAGCCAACACTTGTTAAGTCAGAAGCATCCGCATACTTACCGGTTCTGTACCTGGTACAGTGTATGCAAGTACCATGAAGATGTCTAGCAACAACTTTCAAAAGAGGGTGTGTGCCCGGACGCGCCGGATGGCATTGAGGGACCGACGCGCATCATCCCTTGTTGGTGTGGAGGCGCCGGTCTGTCCTGAGAGCATCGGCAGAGGAAGGTCACACGAGTGGTGGTGGTGGTGGTGGTGGTGGTGGTGGTGGTGGTGGTGGTGGTGGTGGTGGTGGTGGTGGTGGTGGTGGTGGTGGTGGTGGTGGTGGTGGTGGTGGTGGTGGTGGTGGTGGATGGTAGAGAGCCACCACTTCTTTTTCGACTCTGGATAAAAAAAGGAATGGAGGCCCAGCATTAATCCTCAGGCCTGACACGAATGCAAGTCAGTGACGGTGGAATGATGGGAGTGGTTGGTTCAAGATGCCATGACGATCCATGACGATAATACAGTAGTGACGCTGACGCTGGTGATTATGATGATGATGATGATGGTGATGGTGGTGATGGTGGGTGGTGGTGGGTGGTGGTGATGATGATTGTGATGTTGATGTTGATGGTGATGGTCATGGTCATCTGCAGAAACATTTCTGAATAAACACCTTGGAAATGCTCCTTCTTCCTCTTCAACATAATCATCACCCATACCGTCGGCCTCACAGCAGCACAATCAGCATCACCAGCTTCGGCACATCCTCGATATCGTCAACTTCGTCATCACCATCATCATCGTAGTCATCATCCGTATGGAAGCAACAAGGCCAGCAGCTGTTGCTGCAGCAGCTGCAGTGTTAACATGATCACCGCACGCCAACGGACAGCATGCAACAACAGGATCGATCGAGAGAAAGCTAGGAACCGACAGTGGAACAGCACGTAGGTAGGTCTGGTCGTGCCAGCCAAGACGATGACAGTAGTCGCTGGGCAGCAGATTGCCTTGCTTGAGTTGCCAAATCGCTGTCCAAGGGGCGCTAGTCGGCGAGTATCGGCCGGGATACGTATTGACAACCATGCCCCTGCAGGATGCAATACGCTGGAAGACTCATGGTGTACAGGGATAAACGCACGTCGTCAAGCTCAGGCTGTTATGCATTCTCCACTTCGCGACGACTGGGATTTCTTAAGGGTGTCGGCCCACAGCCCGACAGTCCTTCGTTCCTCCATCGGGGCACAAAGCCGAAGCAACGCTTGAACAAAAGCGGGCGACAGGATCGTCATGGTTCATAGCTGCATGTACCAAACCTGACGCAAGACAACGTATAGTAACAGTTGAGGAAGCACACGGGACCCTCCCTGTTTCCTTCTTTTACTCCTCGCCAACATCTCTAAGGTACCATATACAGTACTACCTGAAAGGCGAAGCCTCGGAAGGATTCGGTGAGTCCTCCGGAGCTGACGCCAACTTACAGCCGGAGCTCTTCGCATCAAATTCCTCAGCCTCCCACTCTTCGTTTTGCTTGGCCCACAGGGGCCGACAGGCTCCGTACGCCTTGGTGTCAGCGTCTCCCAGATCTCTTTGAAGCTCACAGAGTGAGGTCATTTGGGCTTCGGTTATTTTTAGGGCTTAGAGCAACTTCCGAACCTTCGAAAGCCCGCGCCCAAGATTGGAAAGCTGAGTGCTGAAGCAAGGGAGCCAGCCACGGTGTGTGCTCCCAATAGGCACAGCACAAGCTGAGCCCCTGCGTAAGTGTTGCGACCGCCGAAATCAACCAGAAAGCGGCCACCAGTGTCCCCAGCAAAGTTACCGAGGCAGATGGCAAGAAGCTTCAGCAGCTGGAACTGTGCCTGGCCACGGCTTTCCCTCGTTTCCCCACCTGTCTGGTCTGTCTCGTGTCCTAGCATTGACCGATGATCCCAAAGTTTAGGCAGTTTAGGCCACCGGTCTGTCTTCGTGGAACATTGCCTCTCATTCTTTTTGATACGTGAACGTGACGAGACGAGTCCAACAGGCCCAGCAAGATTCCGTGGCAGCCGGCCTGGCCGAAACTCGTGCCCTCCTTCGCCGCCCGGGACCCCCAACCATCTGCAATGCCATTCGCCACGGCAGTTCCTTAGTGCCCCAGCTCCTTCAAACAGAAGTTCGCAAATGGCTGGCGGACACAATCCCACAGAAGTCTGAAATTACAGGATTGGATCGGTGTGGTGCTGAAATGATATGACAGTTTTGTAGCACAGGCCAAGGCTCCACTAAAAATGACCGTGCCACCTGCGATAAGAGTCCAGGCCCCTGCATTGCCCCCATCAAAAAGCATCGCAGCGCCGATGACGGAGGCCAGCATCGCAGAGAAATAGACAGAGGACTCTGCAAGGAAGCCGCTGTTGATCAAAATCTTCATGGCTACAGCTAGAACGATGCCCACCGGACACATGATAGTCAAGCAGAAGCCACAATGATAGGCATCCCAGCCGTAGAACAACTCCAGCATCATGGTGATGGACACCTCAATTGCTGCGAGTGTCATTGGCCGCTCGCAAAAGTGTGCGAACATCTTCCAATACACCGTCTGTCTGTCGGGATCTTCCAGCTCTTCCGGCCGGGCCTCCCCTGATTTCCTGGCCGTAGGAGCCGCCTCAACCTGGGTCTCTGGGAGTGCTGGGGGGAGCTCGGTTGGCAGCCCGAAGACGCAGATTGAGAGGGAGACGAGGCCAACCCAAGTACTGAAGACACAAACCCAGGCCATCATGCTCCGAGGGCTCACGGCGTCGCCTCCCTTGATAACCGCCCGGCTTATCAGCGAGAAACAGACAGGGCCGATAGCCATGCCGGCGCTTCGGGAGCATTGCATTATGACGGTCCATATCGTGCGATTGCCTGGGTTGGTGACTTTAGTCCAGAGGAGCACACCAATAACGTTCGGAATGCCCGCAACAAAGGCGATCATGAAGTTCCAAGCAATCCCAGCCCACCAAACGAGGCTCACATGGCTGCTCGCGGCAGTCCTTTCGCGATAATGGGTGGCTTGTCCTACTATTTTTTGGTTCCAGATTTGGGGGTTAGCTTATGACATGTAGCCCCGCGCTCCAGTTCAGAAAGCACGCCAAGGCCAAGGTCGAAAGGGAGGTGAAGAAGTAGACAGTCAGCAGCAGCCGCCTGACGAAGAACTGGTTCCACCTCGTCTCGGCAACGAGCTGATTGCCGACGAGGGTTCCCAGAACCGACGCGACCAGCTGGATGCCGATAAAGAATCCAGATGCTGTTGGAGTTTGGTCCAGGCTGAGTGCATAGTCCAGCACCAGGGGCATGCTCGCGCCACCCAGGAGGAAGCCGCCCAAGCCTTGATCGCTACAAGGCACAGGGAGGGATGCAGGGAGGGGATGCAGCCCATCTAAAGAAGGGTTCTGACGAAAGTGTTTCAATCTTCCGGCTTCCATCCTGGCTCTGGGCTAGGGGCCTATGGGACAACAAATGTAAGGCCATGAGTGCGGGCCGATCAGCTCTGCCACGTGCAGAAAATCTGGCAAGCTTTTCTCTGCAGGGGCACCCAGCCAATCATTGTTCTCCTGCTTTCGGAAACTCTCCGCTCATGCAGAAAGGCCGCCACCCATACAGCGACGATCGGGACGAATACTGCCCAGCCGAAGTCCACAACTCTCCTCAGTGGAAGATCTGACGAGATCCCTCGACGACTGAACGACTCATGCTTCTGGTTGTAGGCCTTAGTAGGCCTTAGTAGGTCCAGACATAGTCACCTTGTGCGAGTGCGCCTTGGCCATGTAAGCTTACCACAAGCGCAATCATCATAACTGCTGTCATTATCGTCTTAACTGCTGCCCCAGCCGTCCGGAGGAGGCTCATCATGCCACTACCACTACCACTACCACTACCACCACCACTACTACTGCCACTGCCACTGCCACTACTGCTGCGACTACGACCACCACCACCACCACGACGACTACTCCTACTACTACTACTACTACTACTACTACTACTACTACTACTACTACTACTGCGCTGCAGCTACCACTTCCTGCTCTTCCTACGACGAGGACTGAGCGACTACGTGCCTGGAGTCGCAGGGGCTGTCTCAGTTGGTAGCTGGAAACCAATATAGCCGGTTTTACTCTTCAGGTCGGTGCCGAGTCACACACCCAAGTTTGGCACAGTAACCCCAGATTTGTTTGGTGGATCCGACACACGTGCGACAGCCTGGCTCTGACCTCAGGAAGAAAACACGGCTTCGCACAAACAGCGTCAGCATACCTACATGCCTGTGACCGCACGATTGCTACAGGAAGTTCGAAGTTCAAAGAGGACTACGCAAGACCACGAAGTAAGACAAGAGGCTGATATCGATTGTCACCGCACGTGCTGCAAGCCCATCCTTCCGCAGGTGGAGATCTTGCTGAAGAAAAACACTGGCATCTCCAGCATCCTCTGGCTCTGGCCTTGCGGGACGTGCCAGGTACCAGGCTCTGGTAAGAACGATCGGAACTAGTACAGACACGACGAAGACAGGAGAGCGGGCTGGAGCCGGGCCATTGAGAACTCCATCTCAGCAAGAAACTCTCTCTTCCCGGGCCTGGCCTTCCCTGGATCTCACAGTCTTGCCCTGCAGATCGCGACAGGACAACCCCGAAAGTGCAGGCCAGCAGTGCAAGCTTCCCGGGGAACATATGGACCTGGGCTGGCCGGGCTCTGCGCGAGATGAGGGCCCATGTCCTCATGAGACTTTACAGAACCCCTGCTAAAGTACCCGGAAACCCTATAGGAAGGCCAACTTCAAGCCGACCATGGCAGGTAAGAGGCAGTTCGATGAACGGTTCAGTCGTTTGCAAGGAAATGGACCAAAGGTCCATGCCGCATGGGCTTGAGCCGGTCGCATTCCAGCGAGAACGAGACATCAAAGTGATCAAATTTTGCAAGAATCGACCACCTCTATTCAGACTTAAGACCAAAATCCACGGCATCTTTGGGAGCACAGGCACATATTCCTCAAGAGTCACGGATCTGTGGTTCCAAATCCCCCCAAATTCCCCAGATGAGAAAGAGCTTTTGAACACTGCATCGCAACTTGTGGCAATCGCACATGGCTATGGATGCTGCCCTCACTTGTTGCGTTTGCCCACGTCTATACCAGTGGCTTCGCCTTGCCAATGTTTCTTGCCGTTCGCCACCAGAGCCTGTGATATCCGATGTGTACGCCATGATGGGGAGAAAGCCTTGTGGTGGCCATTTGCGGTGCGAGCGCAACTGAGTGCAACCGTCAGCACCACCAGGTCTATGTCGGCTCGCGAAGGAAAGAGCTACCGCCTGCGCTCGTTCGGCGATTGCTCGATCGTCCAAGCTGATGGCCTCGCTCCGAAGTCATTCTTGATCTGCGTCTTTGACCTCCGGCCAGCTCGAAACAACAAAAGGAATGCAGACTGGCGTCACTGCTGCTTACATCGACACCACTTGGGCTTGGCCGTAGCATGGCACCTGTAAAGCTGAGGTGTAGACCTGTCTCACTCGTAGCGGAAAACTTCCAACTTCGGGCCGGGAGCGGCCGACAATGGCATGCCCGCAAGATGCCTTTCGCTGATGTCCAGGGCCACGGTCACCCGAGCTCCGCATTCAACACCTCCAGTATCCTTAGGTCTTAGGTACCAGAGCGAACTCCCGAAATTACTTACCACAGCTTGGCCATGGGAAGCCAAGCATCTGCCGCCGCCCTTGCGCAGACGTGCACTCAACAATCGTCTCCAAGCCAGTCGACGCATCGACTGTGGGGTAGTTGAGAACTATCCTGCAAGATCGGGGCGAGAAATGATTCACGCACCTCTGCACAGCCCGTGAGCAGAAGTGTGCCCTGCGTTACGGGCATTCTGGCAAGCAAAGCTCTTCACCTTCCGTCCCCGACCCCTTAGCACACTCCAGGCCACGCTCCTCGCGCTCAAAGACGGCACCAGCAGCTCCGTCCCCTTTCCGTCTGCTCCTCAGCCAGTCTTTGTATTCAGCCTTCGATCTTGTCACTGACCGAACACTGCGCTCTACCCGCATCCTGGCCTTCCCGGGCTTCCACTTCAATCCCTCTCGCTTGGAATCCCGTCTTGATGGCCTCGACGCTGCGCTACCCGCTATTGTACTTCCCATTTACTCAAGCTGCCAGCAAACCAGCAAACCCAGCGCCTCTTTGCTCATCTCGAAGGCTGGTGCTGCCCTGGACACCAGCGAGGAGATCCGAGGCCTTGTCGCTGACGGCAGTTCTTGAGCTGCGCAACGCAAGGGATCCCAAGACACAAGCAAAATGGCACTCGTGCTACGGCTACCAGCAAAAGCAAATCCATAATCACCCCACCTCCTCCGCCCGACAAAAGCACCTTCCAGCAAGTTGCCTGCGGCGCGCTTGCCTGCACCCCAAACGCGATTTTTGGACATCACTAGCGTGCATGCAAGGACGACAACCACGGGGATCAGGATTACGAAGACAATGATGAGCACGAGGACGACAAGCACGACAAGGTAACACTGCATACGGCCATTAACATGGTACAGGTCGATGGGGATGGTGATTGTGGTAATGGTGATATTTGGCTTTGGTGGTGAAGGTAACTGGGGTGATGGGTCATGGTGATCATGTGGGCATACGGGGAAGCTTAAAGTGATGATGCAGTTGCTATGATCATTGACGGCGACGACTTCGATACTGCAGCTTCTGATACACAAAAGCTCCAGCGAAGCGTCACTCTCATCAGCAGAACAACACCATGCACATCACTGTCAGCACCCCTCGACCGAGAGCCTCTACCACCTTCAACTACCAGCTGCATCGTCAACATCACCAGCACCATCACCAACATCGTCGCGCGCACCATCACCATCGCAGCATCATGACCAACAGCATGACGTCGTCATGGAAGTCGAAATCATGCACCACCAGAGACACGGTCATCGCCACCATCAGAGCCGTCACTCCACCAGGCAGCGAGAAAGAGAGAGAGAGAGAGAGAGAGAGAGAGAGACACACACACACACACGCACACACACCAGAAAAAAGATTCCATCATCTGACATGATATTACTGGATATTACTGAACCCCTTCGGTTCAGTGCCTTGCTGGACACGTGCGAGCTGATCCTCCGGCAGCCAGCACTGCACTCGCGCAACAGACCTCAGCACAGTGCGAGGCCCAAAGTGGCTCATTTAGAAAGGAGCTGACGTTCGTTGGATGTTCCAGAGCCTGGGAGCACGCAGAAGGCCGTTTTGGGTTTTGCAAAGGTACTGCACTTGCACGTCTCTCGTCCGACAGACGAGGTGCAAGTCCACGTGCACATCCATGAACTCTGCAGGTGGCAAGACCATGGGTGACTTGCCAGCCTGGCGGCTTCATAATGTGCTTCACGACTAGCAGCAGCAAAGCACAAACAGAAGAGAATGGCTACAGGAGCCTTCTGCGTGGAGGAGACTCCGAAAAGCTCAGCATCGTTCCTGCACAGGACACTCAAAGTCCAGCCCGTCACAGCGAGCTTCCAAGTCCTCGTAAGCAGTAGACGACCAGTGGTCCAGCGCCGAAGCTCCTGGTGCCATACCAGTAGCAGCATACAGTAGCAGCAGCATGAGAATGCTGCTATGGACATAATCGACCATGGACTGGAAGGGCTCCGATTCCGTCAGCCGACGTCGAAAAGGCTTGCCGATGCCTTGGTCCAGAAAGGAAATACTGAGCTGCGTGAAAAAACCTGGCGTGGACGTTGGCCGAGATGCATGGAAGCCGGCAGCCCTCCACAGACACGTCGCTCTGTAGCAACCGAGATTCCGGGTTGCCGGCCTGCGCGCTGCTTTAGATTATCTTATATATTACCTTATCTTATCTTACACTATGTTATCGTATATTATACTCTCCCGCTCTCTCTGCCGTAAATTATATTTTCTAATATCTTATCTTATAGTAAATTCTGCGGCAGGGCAGGGAAGCAGCAGAGCTGGCAGCACTTGTGCTGCCAAGCGTCCCAGCGACCATCGAAGCCTTGAGCCAGGCGCCGTGGAAGCAAAAGCACACAGGGCCTCAGAGCTCTCCCAAGCCGGGATGTGAGGAGAACTCTCGCTGAGGTCCCCGCTCCTGATAGGACTCCGCCATCTCGGAGATGCTGTCTGCCCTTACCACTTTGCTTGTGTGGCACGTGACAGAGCCAGCCCGAAGTTCTCGCCAGACTGCGGCCTCAACCACCCTTAACTCTGAACCTCAATCCCTGGACCTAGGATCCACCACCACAGAGTTTGCCGAGACACAAAACAAGCCGCCCGCTTTCGCAAAGTGCATCAACCAAGAAAGGGTGCTCACCACTATGGGCTCGATCCTCAAGACTCAGAAAGGTAAAGGAATGCGGCTAGACTCGCTGACACCTGCATATGCCTGCAGCAAACCTGGAGCAAGGCTTCGGTTAGAAAGACCGAACGAAAGAAGCAGAAAGCAAGACCAAACGAAACGGTCACACCAGCCCCGCCAGAGTACATGAGTCATACTCACAGTCGCAAACAAAACGAAGAAACCTAAGAGGAAGATGACCAGCAACAGGAACGACATTAACGACAGGCAGCCACCAGATGGTAGAGCTCAGGAAAGCTCAAATTGATTTTGTCAAGTGGCCAAGCATGTTCTCGACGAAAACTCTGCAAAGACCCCGCACCGCCTGCCACACAACTGAACATGCAGGACTCATCGATCACAAGGTTCGAGCGGGGGGAGGACACATCGCAACCACTAATGCCTGGCCATCCGTGCATGCCCGATGCAAAGAGATGTCAAGGGTCACAACAGCTGGCGCTAAATGATGACGTGGACCGAACTCGCAGACCGATGAATGCCTCAAGCGGAGAGCCGGTGCGCCACAAGCGAAGATGGGCGCTTGGCACCTCAACCCAAAGGCTCTTTTGGACGGGTACGCCCCCTTTATATTTTTCTTGCAAGAGGTGCAAGAAGATGCAGAGGCTGCTGAGACTTGCGCTTGTCGGCAAGGTCTGCGATCTGTCGCGAAATGGACATCACCAAATCTTCGGTGAAGGCCTGTTCGCAAAACGGGACTCGGCAATCCGTCATACTATGTCAGACTGCACCTTCCAATGATTCCAGTGGTGTCATACTGCACCTTCCAATGAGTCTAGTGCTGATGCTATGCCGATATGCCACCATGCTGATTGGTGCTATTGAGCTGGCGGTCTTGCACGCTCACGAGGGCAATGAGAATGAGAGTTATTGCGCCATCATTGCTGGTGGCGGTGTGCAACCGATCATCAATAACACGGAGAACGACATCTGTGGCAACGGCAACATCAAAACCGTCATCATCAAAATTCTCATCACCACGACCATTCGGCACTCATCGCCGTCACCCTTGGCAGCAGCATCATCATCATCACATGTCTCACGACCCCAGCAGCATAAGCAGCTGTCACAGCAGTATCAGCAGCATCAGCTTCATCTCCTCATTGCGAAGCTTGAGCGGACCTTTCAAACCATCTCTGCGCCTGGTCCGCCCCGATGGGAATGAGCACGTTGCCTCCTTTGCCCAGGACAGCTGCGGCCTCCACCGAGGTGCCGGTGCTTGTGATGATTTGATGTGGGCCACGACGAAGATTGAGATTTTGTTTCCTGTGTGTTTGATTTGGCAGGTAGTGGTAGTGTTGTTGGTGGTGCTGGTGCTGGTGCTGGTGCTGGAGCAGGAAAAACCTATACGCAGTCACTGTGGGAGACAGCGCCTGGTGCGAAACCTCCGGCAGGCTGGAGCGGACTTCTGCGCCCTCGTCTTCCTTGGCAAGGCCTTGTTTCGGACAGCACATTTTTGCCATCGCCACATGTTTGACTCGGGACTTCTCCAGTGCATTCGAGCGACACAGGCACACCACCACCTCAGCTTTCCTGAGCACCTGTCCAGTGCATCCAAGCATATCAGAAACAGCGATGGCTCATTCTGTCGCCTCCGTCTCCAGCCCCTGGGATACAGGCACCGACAGCGCACAAGCCGCGCCAATGACCGCCAGGCGAATGCCCAAAGCCTCGCAAGGGCCGAATGCCCGATCGGAGCAGCCGACTCACTCTATGGCCTCCAAGGACCAGAACGAACCGCCCAGACTGGCGCCTGCGAACAAAGGCTCAGCCATCGCACAAAAGTTCCCGGAAATGGCCTGACGGAGCTGCGCTGAGGAAGATCGGCCCATGCTCCGCCTCGACGGTCGCCTCCTTGCAGAGGCTCTCCGCCAGGCTCCCGGCTCCCGATCTGCAGCGAAGACCCGAAATTCCCCCGGAACCCCTGTCCTGTCCGTAGCTGAGCTCCTCCGCTCGAGCGAAAGCTTCATGGAGCTCCTCCGGGTTCAAGCCCTGCTCCCCTGGCGATGGAGCAAGCGGCCTACAGTCTCCGAACATCTTTGCTGGTCCTCTCAGAGAAGTCTAAAGGCGCGAGGAACTGCAGGTGTGATGACAGTACTGGGGTCGGGGGATATGGGTGACTGTGAGAAAAGTGACGACATGACGCTAGTGGCGGCAACGGTGGGTAAAAGGACGCTGGCAATCTGGCGGCGGTGATGATGCTGGTGGAGATATTCTTCTGCTCGGGCATTTAAGGTTTGTAGCCACAGATCCACTGCTCCCCACTCCGCCTGCCGAAGAAATGCTCAATGCCACTTTTGCCGCCTGACGCTGCAGGGATGTGCGTGTAGCTTGCACAATGCATCTTTGCAAACACACACACACACACACACACACACACACGCACGCACACACACCAGCACATGTAAGCTTAAACATGCAAAAAAAGACAGCGTGGGCAAGGACTAAGACTTACCAGCGATAAGTAGAACATGCGCGTTCGAGGCACACTGGTGATGGATGCACATTACTCATGTCAAACACCGCCACGCACGCAAGCAGATGCACACATCGACAAATGCACACACCATCTTCTGTCCTGCTCAGCCTGCGCACGGAACACGAGACACCACATCAAGAAAGTGGGTGTTGGGGCATCCTTTGGACGCGGAGTCTCGAACGATCCACTCAGACCTTGCAGCACTGCAGCGTGCTGGAATGCATAGAATCAACTTGCCCGGGAAGTGCGGCGGTGATTGGCCCGGTAGCCCAGGTCTTCCACCACGTCGTGGGGTCGCTGGGCTTGATACTGCCTCTCTGGCGGACTTCAGCGGCCAGCGCACCCAAGTACATCTTTGGTTTTAGGACTTCATCTTCTTGCGGCCGGGTATGCACTTGACAGAGAAGCAGGGTTTTAGTCGCCTGGCTTCAGAAACCACCAAAGTTCTGCAGAGAAGTTCACGTCCAAGCCGTGGGCATCGGCAAACTCGTTGACGGCTCTGACGACCCCAGGCCATGTGATCGTATAGTCCTGACATCACGAAGAGCATCGCACGATGCTGCCACAACACTCAGCATTTGGGCTAAACGTACTATCAGAGGCGAACCGGATCCACACTGAAAGTGCAGATTGCAGTTGTCCACTCAACACATGCCAGGCCGCATGACCAACCATGGTTCCACCAGTCCGGAGGATGGGCCACCAGGCGTCCAGGTCCGAGGCGGCACCTTCGTAGCTGTGGTCACCATCCACGTACACGACATCCATGGAGCTCCTGGGCAAGGCCAAGACGAGCACAGAAGGCCCCTGCTTCAGCTTGAAGTAACCCAAAAAACACCCCTGAGCCACCCTGATGGACAGGGCTCCTGGACACCCAGCCGGCGGCCTCCACGGAGTGCTGGAGGAGGTGAGTGGCACGATCTCGAAAGGGCTGCGTTTGCCGGGTCCCGATGTCCAGGGCCTCACCGAAACCTGAAAGGGCGAAGGTCGCGAAGAAGACCCTGAGTGACAGAGACCCCAACCGCCAGGCCTTGTGGTTGATCGTCTGCGACACCTGTCTAACTCTCTGTGACTGAAAGATGCAGGCAGGCAGCTTCTTGGTTCAACCAGGCCTTCTGAACGCAGATGGTAAGGGTCAACCAGGAGCATGTGGAGCTTTGGGAACTCAGACAAGAGGTGAACTGACACATTGCCGTACCACACTCCGATCTCCGCCATGTTTAGTGCGCGGTCATCGCCCAGCGTTTTCTGCTGCTGTCGGAGCAACTGAACCAAGCCTTCCTCGCGCGTCTTTCCGAAGTCAGACCGCCACTGCCAACGAAGCTTGCGTGCAATCTGCTGAGGGCCTGTTTGGAAGAAAGCTTACAGATACAATGGTGGACAACGTGCTTCGTGATCTGCCTCCGAGAGTCCAAGTGCCGACAGTCTCTAAACGCTGAGCGGCCTGGCAAGATGTCCCAAATGTTGAAAAGAACTTCAAGCATTCCCATCACTTAGTTCAACGTATGTCCGATGGTTCGCTGTTTTATGCAATCCTCTGCCTTGCCTCCGCCAAGCTTCCAATACACGCCAAACCCACGTTTGCGATCTCGTTGCACTGGCCTCGACTCTACGCCGCGGGGCGACAACTTCTGCAATGCTCTGCAATGCTCTGCAAGGCTTGCTGAATGTTGCATCGCTGCCTCGCTCGAAGGCTGCACGCAGCATTCGACAGTCAGGAGACATGCTCCCCTCGAGCTCCTCTGATTCCGGATGGCTGGAAGCTTACGATTGCTGTTGGAAGCATAATATGGCATGCAGAGCCTCGCCTACGATCGAGACTCGTGACCCAAGCCCTGCGTAGAATTGGCATCGCATCCTGTTTTCCAAAAGCCTCCACCACGGGCAAAAGAGCACCTAATCAGTTTGAGACGGTTGGACAGGCTGAGGGAGACTTCGCGCAAGCTCGATCTCAGATAAACGGTTGCCATGGACTCGTGTTCGGTGTCATTCACCCTGCACATCTTTTTGAAGCAGGCTCTACAGCTATGCCTGCCCCTCCAACCCTGCGCTCGTGTCAACAGGAAGGTTTCGGAAATCAAATTTAAAAAAATCGATGCTGTTGAGAGTGCTCGCATGCAAGGCATTATGTCTTGTGTTTTCCTCTTTCTTCAAGGTACCCGGCAGTCGCAATAGGCCTGGATGCAAAAAATAGAAATTCGATGCAACTGTCGTGACCTGTACGCATGCCGCAGAAACCTGAGGGCTCCTGCAAACCTGCATCTGTCATGATTAACCCTGCAACTAAAGCAAGATTCCAAAGTTCCCCAATAAAAACAAAAGCATGCTGCACTTGGAGCTCCGTCCGCTGGGCAACGGAGGTCACGAGCTTCAACACCTCAGCCGTTGCTCTAGAGGGGCTCGGAGTACAGCACGTGGTGCTTTGCAGGATCTCCGGAAAACTTGTAGGTTGTAGCAGAGCCACCGGTGCAGGAGCGTGGCTCTGCAGCACTTGCGTCAGTTGTCTTGCTTCTTGAAGCAGCGTTACATCTCCTGCAAAGGCCAAACAGCGAAGAACTTGGCCACTGCTGCTCACCCACCCGGCCTTGTTGAAGGGCTTCCTCCAAACCTGCGGCAAGGCCAGGTGGACAGGGCGGCAGATGTTTAGCGCCCCTTTCCCCTCCGCCTGCCAAGGCTGGTGCTGATGCCGCCGCTGCGATGCGAGGGCCCAGGCAGGGAACCTCCCAGCACGGCAGGATTGCACGAGAAAGAAGCTCAGGGAGACGAGACGGAGCCCTCTGAAGACGGGCCCGGGGCGCCAATGCCGGAGTGAGTACAGCCGCTGCACGGCGCAGCGAGAAAGCCAGGTTCCGCAGCTGGGCCAGGGCCACGGCTTTGCAGGATTCTGGATTGAAGTTCGGGTTCAGTGTAGTGTACGCCTGCACCTGCTGGATCCTAAAGGTCCATGCAATGCCACATCGCATTTCGAGGCGCTCACACACAGCACCAACACCTGCACCTTTCACCACACGACCTTACGCGCAATCAGGCCCAGTGCCTGGTCCCGAGCACGCATAAACCGACGACCCCACCTCTGCACTTCCCGGCCAGTCAAAGGCATCTTGCAGCTGTGGGTACGCATCGCTGACGCAGCGCAGCAAAGCTTCCTAGGTTCGCACGATTTTACAGGACCACGGCATGAAACAGTCATATATTCTGGAAAGTAAGGCACTGGTCATTATCAGAGCTATGCTTAGTGTTGCCGCTGTTTCAACTGTAACTTGTTACGACTCTCTTGTTATTCTTCAGGTCGTTCGCATGAGCTTTTTCTCAGTATCATCGTTTGACGCATGTTACCGGCAAACACGACGAACACAGTATGCTAAACCAAAACAGTCGCTAACAGCACAAAGAGCCACAGGACTGCATCTCCCACGGAGTCTTCGAAATCCGAGACACAGCATCTCCACGAGCAATGGCCTCCAAGAGGAGCGGATGGTGCCCCGTGCCAGCTAGCGCAACGCCGACCAGCAACGCACCAACCAAGCAGCCCCAGAAGACGACCATGGGATTCACGTTTCCCGGGAAAGGGTTTATTCTAGGGAAATGTAGACTTCATTGAGGGAGCAAGTAGACGGAGGCTGTTCTTCTGTTGCCTTGTGGTCCGTGTTCGTGCTGATTGCAAGGACCCTGACAATAGACCTGCTGGCCGTCATCTCAGCCTTCATGCCACACTAAAGGTGCCGAAAGATCAAGTCGCCGAGGATATCTTGGTGAACTTGCTGCTTGGACGTCCGTTCCACTCTGAAGCCAGGTGCTCTTTCAGAGCATAGCGAAAAAATCGGTCACCACACACGAGAAACAACAGCTCAGCAACGCAAGTAGGGAAAACACAAAATATTTACTACATGTACGTACACATACATACATGCAAGCATACATGCATGCGTCCATCCATCAATCCATCCATCCATCCACCCACCCATCCAATGCGCGCATGCAAGAGAAGAGTCATGCAAAGATACAAAGCAAATCAGCTTAACAAACAAAGCGCGGTGTCCCCTCGCCGCCTATCGAGACCAGAGGAGAGCTTTTTACGACAAAAGACCCCAAGTATCAGCAACGGATGGGCTACTTTCAAGGCAAGTAACTACTCGCCTGGAGCACCGGCGCCGTGCCCAATAGCCGTGGCGGTGCATTGGGCGCCCGCCTCCACATCATGGCTATTCCGTTGATGCATTGCTGCATACCGCGATGCGATAAGGTACGATGTTGACCCCGGCTATTGCTGGCGCTCCTGCTACTGCTACTGCTGCTGCTAGTGCGAGTGCTACTGCTACTGCTACGACTACGACGACGACGACTACTACTACTACTGCTGCTTCTGCTGCATTTCTGCTACTACTACTACGACTACGGCTACGAATACGACTACTATGACTACGACTACGACCACGACTACGACTACTTGGACTAGGTTTACTAGCATGGTGACAAAATGCGAACTACTCGCATCTGAAGAGAGCATACGCTGCTCTGTTCCGTGCGGTGCACTGGAGGTCAGACTCCTGCCGTTGAATTCGAGTCTCGGTTGTCCACCCTGCAATAGAGGAGCAAGGGGGACAACACATGTGGCTCAATCTGGCAACCGATCCGACTGGTGTGACTTCGTCACGTTGAACCTGTTTCTTTTCTGCCGCCATCTAGGCCACAGATCATCTGTCTGCAACAGCTTCAACAGCTCACAGATGACTTCTCAATATCAGCACGGCATCAGGGCCTGCATCCCTTTTCCAGAGTCCAACGCCGTACCTCTGCAATGGCCCCTGTCCAATGTAAAGAGCAAGATCGTCCGAAAATCGACAACCATTGGTTCACCATAGGTTTGAGTGAAGACAAGGCCTGCTGCTTCTGTGTGCTGTTGCTGCATGGATTCCCTCGCAGTTGGTCCAGGACTCTTGAACTCGCCCCAGCCGCTTATATGGCTCTGTACAGGGGCGTATCGTGTGCCTTTACTCGAAAACACTGCCAAACACAACGAACTGAGAAAGGCTCGTCGAGAGCTTCAGCGGCAACGACGCAACGGACTCCATACAATTTACGGTCTGCCTGTCTCGCATACTCTTCTAAGCGACATTCTGTTTCCACGTCTTGTATTAGTTCTTGTTGTTGGTATTCTTCATCTTCCGCTGCGACGATGTCTTCGTTGGATTCTGTTTTTTCGTATTACCCCTGCTCTCTCCGTTTGCACTCTATGTCCCTTCTCTTGATGATTGCCTTTCTTCGAGGAGACTTCATTCGGTTGCTGTGGCTCACGTGTCTCGAGGATATAGCTGCTTATTGCCTTGCAATGCAGCAGCAGCCTATTTATGCTGCGAGTGTTCCCCAGGTACTAAATCCGTAACAGCTGGGACATAGGCATCCGCCAACTCCGTTGTTCGTTTGGTGCAAAAAAAGAAGCCTCCTGGAAGGCATGCGGGCTTGAAAAAGAGCGGTTGCATGCCTCAGCTACCGTAGACCTTGAATGCGCCCCGCAAGCCTTCAATGCTATCTGCATTTTGCTCGATGCTGCATCTCAAGCTCTGAACCAACTAGTGCAGGCATCGAGCAACCCCAAACGTCTGGTGCGCTTGGAGTTTGGTCGGCTTCACCGACGAAATATGTCAACTGCCACCTACCAGGTGCTTCGGTGGCCTTCCTTCCGGCTCCCCTTAGGGGTTGTGCCGGCAGGGATCTCAAGTTCTCATGGGGGCGTTAACTTACCCTGTCCTGCCTTTCTAAGACCATCCACAGACTGTGACCCATGTCAAGCGATTATCACTGATCCCTGCAGCTGCTCGTGCACCGCTGCATGCATCTACAGGCTAATTCGGGTAGATGGGACGATGTCAGCCCAGTCGGAGACCTCGCCAACATGTGCTGGGAGATGCGTCGGCAACAAATCCAGCTTTCCGAACCTGCTTGGAGAGGTCCCCTGAGGTCTCGCCCTGCAAGACAACGCAACTTCAGAGAGGGCTCTCGCCCAAGCAGTATCTGAACCCCAAAGGCGCCTCCCCTGCAGAATGGGCCGTGGACCTGTGGCCTCAGCCGATCAGGCGAGCTACCCAGGAAGACACTCCACATAATGTTCGATTTTTTTTATTCAATACTGACAAGCATCTTCATACCATTAAATACGAATATTATATTATCGCCATTGAAAAGGTATAATGCCATTATGTCCCGAAGCTCACAAGCCGGCCAAAAGCCAAACAAAGAACCCTTCAGCATGGTGCACGATGCCCCAAGCGATAGTCCAAGCCCAGTAGCTGCGCCGCATGTCCAAAGGAGCCGCCTTTGGCAGGTCCCGGCAAAAAGCTCGAGGGACATGGAACATAATCGTACATTGCAAGATACTATAGCAGCTATAGCATATATAAAATGTGCTTCTTATTCGGCCCAAGCCAGTCCAGGCAAGTTGACAACAAGGGCAGCCGCGTGGGCCGGGCCTCGTTGATGTCGAAAAGGACCGAGAGTGACTTCGCTCCAGGCCACGAGTCCACCAACGCAGTTGTATGCGCTAACCTGGACCAGACATAGCTTCAATTGCATGTTAGCGATCTCTTTGCGCTCCCAACCTCCAAAGAAGACCTTCTCCATCAGTGTTCTGGCGCCGCATCTTGTTAGAGTTGTTGCTCTTTGTGGCCTCTCTTCAGCTCGGGTCCTCATGCTCAGCAAGCTCTGTTGGCCGGACGCGCCTCCACACTGAGGACGATCTTGGACTTGCCCGTGTGAGGTGTCCCTGCATCCTCCAATGTCAGGTTAATCTCCTGCCCACAGAGACAAGCACTCCGACCCAACATGCACACGAACACTTGAGCGCACAAGGCAGATGGGACGCGAGAAGTGATACCTCTGATTGAACGGGCTAGTCTAGCTCGTGCTCAGGGGACATTGCGACACCCCCGACTCCTGAACATTCACCTCTCTATTGAGATTCTTCAATGAAGTCTGCATATCACTGCAAGAAACAAAACGTCTACTGCCGGAGAGCTCTATGCTTCAATGCCACGCTCGGGGTTTACTTCAGGATTCAGGATGCAATTAATATCGACCAGTCCTCGCCCCGACTTTGGCTGATTCCTGCGTACAAGCGCCGCAGCCTGCATCCAACGCCCAAGCTTTAGCTGCTCTACATCGCCGACATGGACGGACATCCGATGGCCTGGCCCCCTTTATCGGAAACTTCCATGCGTGGAAGGCGACAAACAGCTCGCACAAAGGAGCCCAGAATCCGATCCTCGCACGACTGCCGCACGGCTCTCAACCAGCGAAACACTGGCCGCCAAGCCATGCAAAGGAAGATCACAGTTCCCACCGAGACACACTGCGCGGACGTACCAGCCTGTGCATCACAAAGGCATCCGCAAACACGGCATAACAATGTACAACTATGCGGTAGGCTATATAAGTCATTGCACGAGACTTTCTCATCGTCTACTTTATAATGCAACTATAATGTACTGTAACATACAACAACCGCAGGTGTTGAAACGACAGTCTGTTTCTGGTGCTCCACGTTAGCAGCCAAGCCGAGGAGCGCAGACTGTCGGGCTGCATGGCGATCACGCCAAGGAAGCAGGTTTCGATGCACTCCTCACGTCAATGACGGGCTTAGGGACAAGTGCTTACCGTGCTAGGACTCTGGGATGCAGGCAACCCCTGGCTGACAGCAAGTCATGGCTCGAACTCTCTTCGATTGCCGGCCAAGCAACACCCACGGCACCAGTAGAGTCGACGATTTGCTTGGTGGAAAGGTGCTTGCACTGATCCTGGCTGCGCAAGCTGCGCTTCAACTTAAGACCATGCTGGGTTGGCTTCGCAGCTGCCCGAAGCAGGAACCCCGTCTGCAGGCCTCGCAATTCACAGTCTGGAGCCCTGCCAGACCCAGACCGAGGAAGGTCAGAGAGGAGAAAACAGCACCTTCACAAAGGGACTCTGGCATGGGCCATCCGCCGAGGTTGCCTCGAAAACTCCTGTGCTCCGTATCCGGTGCCTGCAAAGTTTTGAGTCATGGCCAGTGCACCAAAGATCACACCTGGCATCCGATGGTTTGCTGTGCCAAGTTCACAAAGCATCTGCAGGCTGTGCTGAGGGTTTGAGATTGGGAATGTCTGTCCCCGGCTCTGCTCCCGAAGATCGGGCCTTGGCGCCGCCGCCCTGGCACCTCACCAAAGATGCAGTCCTCGCAAACTCAACTCATATTCCTTGAAACTGTTTGGATCTGACGGCTTTAACCACTTCGCTCCTCATCCACCAGCCAACACTGAGCAGAAACTCGCCTGGGCCGTGCTTCCGTCATCAAGACAGTAACCAAAATCCATGAAGATGAAGCTGCACCAATGGACCAAGAAGCCAGAACGAGAAGCTGGCCAAGCCAAATCGTGTCGTGACAGCCCACAGAAATACCTGCAAGAACACTATGTCGTGCTGGCCAAGACTGCGAGGTACTGCCACCAAGCAACCATAAAGACTGAAGGCTCCGCCCATCCAATGATGCCGAATGTTGCGATCGCATTGAAGAATCCTCAAACTTACGAATGCGCGGCAGGCACTGCTTCCGCATTGAAGGCTACGCGGCGCAGGCACACGCTACTCTTTGATGAACCGTTTCGCTGGTGTACCCACGGCAACATCGAAGGTATACCAAGCTTCGAGAGAATACCACGTATCGCAGCAGCTTGCGATCTTTTTTGCCGGTCATGTCTAACCTTGCACGTGTTGCTGCAACGGTGACGTCCACTCTGAGCTGTCCAAAAGCACACTGTCGGCTATCCTGACCGATAACCTGACGTCTCCAGCGCTGAAGACTTGCATGTAGATCCAGTTGAGGGCCACCTTCCACGACAGCTGTCTTTCAAGAGGCTTGAAGGCCGACGCTCGCATACAGCATACATGACTTTGTGTTTCTAAAGTCCTTGAATGTTGAGGGGAGTGGGTTGGAGGCAGTCCTCCGTGACGCCGGCCAGAAGACCACCTCCCACGATAACCTGCCGGCACCGGGCCCGCATGAGATCAGCCATCGTTACCAGAACGGTGAGCAACTCGGCCAGCCTGCATACGCTCCCATCCACCAAGCCGCAGCACATAGGTCACCTCTTTGGCCAAAGTCGGCTGCTGGCTCTCGCATCACGACGTGGCAATTGACTTCACAGCATGTCATAGCAGGGTCAAAGATCCCGTGCTGGACAGCTGGCGACATGACACCAGTCCTGCCAGGTCGCATAATAAAAGAGCGTGGAGCCGATCGATGCCCCGTATGCTCCATTCCAGAACCTGGGAAAAAGACTCGACAACTCTTGTTGCCTCGTCAGTTACTTATGCCGTTTCAAGCCGCGCAAAACTGACGGCTCAAAGCCTGAAGCTTCAAAGGCAAAGCGGCTTCACCGCCATCAAATGCCGAAATGCCATGTTGGGGGCGCGCTGGTCCTGAAATCGATCTGTCACAGGGCGGATGCCCAACTCTGGGCTGGCAACCTCTGCAGGAGACGACTCCCCCTGAATGAAAAGTCACCTACAACTTTGAATACCGCTTGGAAACCACAATATGCAATGTAATATATGTGTCTGCTAGAACAACAGTATGGTACTACTGTGTTTCTTTCTAGAAACGTAGCAGGTAGGGCAATGTGAAGACATCCCACTTGTGTCAATAAGGCCATCAAGGCAGGGACAGTGATTGCAATGGCGAGCTGGCATCATAGGTCAGTTCCCACCCACATGGGCCGCGAAAGAGCCACATGGAGGATCACGGATCCAAAGCCCAGCTTCCCACAAGTACTAGCAACCCGAACTGGTGCAGCTGCTCCTTGCGCCTGCAACACCCACAGCGCGGCATTACCTTCAGGCGGCAATTCAGCGGACAAGGCAAAGCTATTGCAGATAGTGCTCGCATAAACAACCTCGTAGAAATCACATGACGCCTCGCAGAGGATCTGCAGGACGCCACCAGCTTCGCCTGTGCTGCTTTGGACTTCTTGCGCCTGCCAACGAGCGACAGGCACAAAAAAGCATGACTGGGCGCAGGCTAGCCAGCTAACTGCCCATCCCGGCCTCTGATGGGACTTGTGGCAACGGAGAAGCCTTCGCATCGCGGAAGATCGGAACTGCCTGGATGCTGCAGATGAGAAACGTATCTGCAGTTTGCGCTATGTTAGAAAGGCTGCTCTCATGCACACGTGCCTCACGAGAAGATGGGCATGTCACGATCTGGGCTGCGAGCCTCCAGGCTGACCAGGCCAAACAGGAGAATGTAGAACACGAACAGAAGGCGGTGCAGCATTGAAGCATCCTGCACGGCACGTCTCGTCTGACCAAGCGATGCTCCGCACACGTAATGACAAAACGACATCTGAAGCCGCCGAGCAACAGCCATGAGCACCAAGACAGGGATGGCTCCACAGCCCCCACCCATCATCATAGTATACTTGCATAGACCTGTGCATGACGCGCTGGGCAACCGGTTCATCTTTCCGCCAGCTTCAGTGTGCTGCAAGCTCCGGCCATGCCCCGTGATACCTATGGGCAGTTAGAAGCCGGAGGAAGGAATGTCCCCACCCCAGAGCTCTTAGCCAGCGGGGCCTCTTTTTTTACGAGGAGCGCAACCAAACCCATCGAGACCTGTCTACTCCTGCCAGCCTCGCGAGTCTCCACTAAGGCTCAGGAAGCCACGAATTGAGCACCGAATATCAAAGCCTGATTGTTGGAGTTGCCGACATCTCCGCGCCTTCGACGACGATGCGCTCTTCCTTGAAAGGGTAGATCTCCTGATTCGGATTACTGGCTCGTAGTTCGCGGTGTGCCGCGCTCAGGCGCAGGAGGCCTGACGGGCTGCTTCGAAGGCGATGACGCAGGAAGAAGCTCCCCAGTAGGACAGCATGAGCACGAGCACCTGTGATTGACATCGCTTCGGCTTTCCTAGACAGCCGCTTTCATGTACCGCGGCCCAGTTGCGAACCAGACCTCCAGCGGACCTGTGGCATTGCCTGCAGACAGGAGTCCCGCGCGAGGAGTGTGGAGAAGAAACATGCCAGAATACTGAGGCCAGGGCTCGGTGGCATGTAAACCTTGCAGCTTCAAGGAGACCAGGGCCGCACTCCCTCTGACTTTATCTGACTTGGTTTTGGATGCATCAAAGAGTGTATTCTGACAGGCCACAGCACTGGCAGCCACCGCAGCTATGACGCAATGCGTGGCCAAGAAGGGAGCTCGGCGACCCCATCGCTCCACTGGGAAACAGCGCTTCAGCACCTCGCGGTCCTGGAGGAAAACAAACTAAGCCTCCTCGTTGTTGGCCCTGTTGTTAAGGATCCCTCTATCAAGGCCCTACACAATGGCCCATGGCCCCCCCCCCCAAACCATGAGGGTTTGAGACACTAGGGACGCTGGAGGCAATGCCTCTTGTCCTGCAAGTGCCCCACCAGGCATTCGGTGAGCGGACTCCAGAAAGAAATCACGGAGAAAAGCAAACCCATGATCGTCGCATCCTCAGCAAATCTTGACAGTGAGAACCCTCACCTTTTTGAATATTGAAGATCTCATTGACAGATGCAAGACTGCGTGGAGTGAACTTTCTGCACAACCACTCCACGGCGGCTTTAGCCGACGTGCACACGGCACATCGAGGGCACTCCCACATGCAGTGACATCACACTGCCACTTTGATATTCCGAGGGGCTGCTCCAAATTTCTCAAGATAAACCTGTAAGCGCACCGCATGGGAAAACGATGCGAATGACACGACAGCAACATTCCTTTCTGGCGCGGAGCATCTTTCGCTGAGCCAATAATCGCAAGTATGTGGAACAGGCCTCAGTCCAAAGAAGTTAGTCTACGATTTGGCTTGCTTCCGTGAACGAACTTGTCATGAGTCATGGCGAAAACATCCAAGACACTAAACAGGGACAGCGCAAAGCGGAACTTTCCTTGGAATGTATCAGGAATGATGTACAAAAAACACATTGGGTGAATGTGCCAACGAAAATCGAATCGGAACAAGTTGCTGAACAAAGAATGGCCAGAATGGCCATGCGGTTCTGTCAGTTTCCGCCGCAATCTGCCGAAGCAGCCTTCGCGCACATGCGCTTCCTTGCTGATCTCTGGCTCCATCGCATGCAGCAGCCCTTGCACGATATATGCCAATATATGCAAGGATAAGCTGTGAATGGTTAGATTTTCAAGGGAACTACTTTCTATACAGGGACAGCCTGATCTCTAAAACTTGCAATGCCGAGCGAAGCGTCCTTGAAGCCTGTTTGGACCGTCTGCCTGAGTCTACCCCCGACATATCTTTTCATACTTTGAGCCTGCGGCACACGAGATTCATAGCCTTTGCAAATCGAAAATGTCATCTCTCCGTGCCAGGAAGCAAGAATGGTTAGACGTGGCCAAACCTGCGAAGCTCCGCCCAGCCATGTAAGCAGCCACCTCGGCTGGAGACATGAATCCCCGAAAATCACACAAAATCTCGAAGCCCACCTGAAGTCGCCAACACGGCATCCAATGGACCTGCAATGCCCAGAGCATCGAGCCGATCACCTGCGAACTAGCCCTGCAAGGTCAACTTTTCAAACGAATGAGCTGCACACAATCGACGCTACACGTCCCCAAACACAGCGGGGAGACTTGCTTCAAGAAAAGCATAGAAAGCCTCGCACCTGCTCCGGACGGACAGCCCACCAGAATATGGGCATCAAAGAAACGGATCAAAGCGCCCTGGACATTCCGCAAAGTCTGGTGACATGTTGCTGTTTGCTTCGGCGTGTTCCAACTCCCCGGCCTGCGGCTCTTCTGCATCTCCAATCCATGCTACACGAAGAGGTGGCATTCGGAACGGAAGTACTTCCTCATACGTCAGTGTTGTAGTCTTACTAAGGCAAGGGCTGCATTTGCTTCAACCGCAAACGCAAGACCTGATAAACCGTGTTCGCGAGCCTTCAAGCCCTGCTGATTGTATCGTAATATTGGGCATGGACATGGCCAGCCCAAAACGTCAGATCGTTTCTGCCTTTCAATGGGTGCGGGCAATTTCCGGAAGCAGGCTCTGAAACACGCGAACCGCGCGATTATCGTCAGACCCAGTACGAGTGCGATCCCTGTGCACCTGCAGTCTCCGTGGTGGCGGCAGCCTAGGTCTGCAGCGGGAGCCGGCTGAGGGCAGGGGCGTGCAGCCAGTGTTCGTCCTGCAGGACCTCATGCGCAGCCGGCTCGGTGGCAGCAAAGGCGACGGTGTCTAGAGGGAGCTCCAGCAAGGAGCCCGGCGAAGGCCTTTTTGCGAGCGTTTACGAAGCGTACTCATGTATAAACGCTGTAGCTTGAGTATGCTTGAGTGTTGTGCATGTACCACGAACTACGTCATGAAAAGCATGACCACATGAACCACATGCATGTGACCGGTGTAGCCTTTCAGGTCCTAGCCAACGGAAAAAAGTGAGTAGTGAGCCCAATACGTCCCAGCGTTTGCCCCGCGCGCATGGTTACGCGGAGCTGTTAGTGTCCAGCACGACCGACAGTCAGTGGCACCTCGGCAAGTCCCGGCCGTGGCCGCCACCAACTCCACCGCCAGCAAGGCGACATCGGGATACCACAGCACATCTAGGACCAGCCTCGTCGCAAAGTCTTGGTGTGACTGACACCACCTCCCGCCTTTCGAAAGGCAAAGGATCCAAAGGCAAAGTCACAGGTAAGCCTGGAAAATGCCATCCGTCTGTCAAGAAGCGTGCTCGCAAGCGCGATCCCGACACTGGCAAGTGCGTCCGATCCCAGAAGCGGTCGCATAAAGCTCAGCAAAAGCGCGCCTTGCGGAAACGCCTGCACCAAGTCAAGCAACAGATCCGCTCAGACGCAGCCGTGGTTGCGAGTAGCAGCCAGCACTCCGACCAAGAAGCCGAAGAAAGTGCAAGCTGTTCCCGTGAACCTTCGCGTGAGCGCACTGTTCATCACTCATCCTCGGGCGAAGCGTCCTTGAGCGTTTGAGGAAAGGCTCTGGTTTCAAAGCCATTGAGCATTCCCACACACAACGTGTCTCTGGCGAACTTGCTGTTGAGACACAGCCTGAAAGGTTTGAGCCTTCCGGTTTTGGTTGCAGTAAGGGTTAGGTCATAATTAACCTAATTCTCCGTGTTGCAATTGTTTGCATTGCCCCATTAGACGGCACAATGGCAAACACCGAGCGACAAATCCAAGCAATAGCTAGTCAAGTGCAGCAGTTGACAGCCCAGCTCACCTCACAGCAGCAGGAGCTGAGCAACACTCGAGCTGCATTAGAACAGCAAGCCCAGGCGACCAACGCCGCTCTGACAGTGGCGCAGTCGGCCATGTCTCAGTTGACAGCCACGACGCAGTCAACAACGTCTGCGGAACCCAAACGCAGGCCGCTGAATCCCAAGTTGGTGAAAGCACCTGAATCGTTTACCGGCAGCGATTCTGATTGGGAACGATTCAAATTCGGTTTCACGTCGTGGATCGGTACTGTCGATCCTGAATATCCCGACCGTCTCAAGGTAGCCGCCGCACACAGACGAGATCAATCGTGCCGAAGTGATCTCACCTGCGAAAGGGTTGTGCGCAGACCTGTTTGCCATTTTGGTAGGCTTGTGCCAATCCGGCGAGATCCCAGCCATGGCGATGCTTGTGCCAGACAGGAATGGTTTCGAACTGTGGCGCCGCATGCATGCCCGTTTCGAGCCGGAAAATAAACACAAGCCTTACGCGTGGCTCCGGGCACTTTCTAACCCCGTCTTCCCGAACAAGGAATCACAATGGCAACGAGGCCTTGAAGAGTGGGAAGGCGAAATTGCCAAATACGAACGTGAATACAAGACAACTTTTGATGAAGATCTGAAGCTCGCCATCTTGTCCGAAGTTGCTCCCAAGACACTTGCCCCTCAGATTGCCATGCATTCTGCCCACCTTACTACCTATAAGACGCTCCGTGAGTTTATTGTGCAAACTTGAAGTCCAAGAACCTCTGGAAGCGTGGTGCCGGCACTTCTTTCGGCACACAGTCTGCATCACCAGCAGCTCCATACTCTGGGCCAGCACCCATGGAGATTGGGGCAGTGGAAGCGGACAAAACCCAAAGGTGATAAGGGTGGTAAGGGTGATAAGAAAGGTAAGCCTGGGAAGGGTCCTAAGGGTGCAAGCAGTAAGGGCGATGGTAAGGGCAGGGATAAGGGCAAAGCTGAGGCCAGCAATGCCAACACCTCCAAGGGACCTCCGTGTGCAATTTGTGGTCCCGAGAAAGGGAAGAACCACACCACTGAAGCGTGCTACTTCAATGCCCGCAGCTTTCCAAAAGGAGACAGCAAGGGCAAGCGCACATCGACACCAGGTTCAACCAACATCAGCGCGGTCGAAGGGACGGCCTCTGACAACAGCGACCTGTCCAGCACCATTGCGTCTTTGCAGCAGCAACTTGCAGCTCTTCGGCTCAGCGACGCATCCTCAGTGAGTGCCTCGTCCACGTCGACTGCCAACGTCGGCCGCAAAGGCCAAGCAACCCAGGGCGCTATTTCACAGACGGAAGAACCCATGCTGTTTGCAGTGGTTGAGGCCGAGGTTGCCGAAGCTGTCTGTTCCACGGTGCATGGTGACGGGAGACAAAAGTACATCCTAGTCGATTCGGGCGCCACTACAAGCTGTGCCAGCACGAAGCATTTTCCCAATGCCACAGTCGACGCATCAAAACGCAAGCAGTTGTGGGCCATCAACGGAACGCCCATACAGCAGCAGGGCGAGCTTGCAGCTGACACCACCCTCTCAGCAACTACTGCCGACGGAGAGGGCGTGGAAATTCCTGCTAAGTTCCGTCTCGACTCTACGGACATAACCGAACCGGTGATGGCTTTCTGTCGCATCTTAGATGACGCCGATTGTGACATGCACTTCTACCGCTCATCCTCCGGCAAGCCGGCGCACATCGAAACACCGGACGGTCACAACATCGTTCTGCCCCGGTTTGGGTCCCGGTTCTACATGCCGTTTGAGGATCGCACATCCAGTGCTTCGCATCCAGCTTTCGTTGCGGCGCAGCACCACGAGGATCTCGAGGATGATGCGTCCGCCGGTCCCGTTGAAGAGGATGGCAGCGTCGATGTTGACTTGGATCGCCAACCTGGGTCACCCCAACCACGTCATCTCCCCGCACCTGTGGCGCCTACAGATGACGAGCGGGCATTGCATAACCTCGCCCATGCCGATTTCGTGCCGTGGTGCCGCCATTGCATTACTGGCAAAGCACCTGAGTCTGGACACCATCGGCAAGTCAAGCACGAAGATGCCGAGGTGCCAGTCTTGCAGTTTGATTATCAGTTTTTCGGCCGCGACGGTCAGCTCGTTGAAGAACAAAGCCGTACAACTACAGTCCTTACGGCCACGGACACTTCATCCGGATGGCCTCTGATGGTGTTCGTGCCTGAAAAAGCCCAGGCTCGTACGTTGTCAACGCGATTGTGTCATGGATAAAGCGTCTGGG